CGATGGTTTTTTTCTTTCTTGTTGTAAACAGACAAAACATAAACCATCTGCACAAAGGAAATAAATAATCACTGACAAAATTATAGAGACAACAAAATCATTGTTAGGATGGAAAATCTTTTAATAATTTAAAGAAAGTTACATTTAACTACGAATTCAACTGCCAAAACGCAACATGCCACTTCCAAAGTAGCATCTGTGGTCAAATTGTTTTATTCAATTTTACATGAAGGTGAAAAAACATGCTACCAAAATTCTTCACATACTTCCTTCTTTTGATATCATTCACTAAACAAACAAACAAAAAAAAAAAAAGGAAGAATTTCTGACATCTTTACATGATCACTAAGGAAAATCTGGTTACCAGTCCCAGTAGTTGGTGTTGGTGAACACACATACCTTTCATTCTAGTGAATCACTCAGCTTGAAAGGTTTGATTATAAACAAAATGATAGTAATGAACACGATTAATACAAATAATATACTGCCAGTTCATATCATTTTATCCTTAGGGCCTTGTGTGTTTCTCTAATTCAAGGAATAATTTGCATTGTCTACCTACAGTTGGAGTGGGCTTTTTGGTACACAAAGGGCTGTGAATTTTCATGTGTATAAAATTATGTATGTACAGGTGCATTTTTATTTTGTTTTACTAAATGCCATTGGTGTTGACGAATCACCTTTGCATACATTACACATTATAAACCATTCCACAACATCCCTTCGCACCAATAATTCATTAGCCTCCATTCCGTGCATTCAATTTCCTGATCACGTTAAAAGTTGATACATGCAAAACCAAAAGTTCCCTTTCCATGCATACCAAACATAGAATAAGCACAGTCCATGTCAATTGATAATTTCAAGACCAGAAGTCTCACAAAGCACGCATCACTACCAACAAAACAAATGCACGTGTGCATGCGTGCGCGGGTATGTGTGTGTTTCATTGCAGAACTCACGTGTCCGTGATGGGTCTTCAAGCCTCTATCCTCCACTCTACAGTTACCATCAATTAGCAGCGTTTTAATTGGAACCTAATAAAAGCATAAAAAACAGTTCATGTTGTCAAGTTCTCGAGCAGCAAAAAAGTTGAAAAGCAATCTCGCAAATTCCCCATCCCCCCCCCCCCCCCCAAAAAAAAAGGGTAATTCCAGATAGTGAAAATTAATAATCGAACGAAAATTAAAGCAAAAAAAAAAAAAAAAAAAAACTAATCGAAATTTATCTATTAATCCAAAAAATTAAGATAAAAAAAAAACGTACAATCACCTGATTATCCTGCGGTTTCCTCTTGTAATACGCGAGCAGACGCGACTCCAACACGAAGTACCTCATGTGGATGAACGATCGACCGATCTTTCTCCGGCCATACCGAACCATCCACCCTTCGTACACAACCTTCGACGACATCGTTCCACCGGAACGGAAATTCCAAAATTCGTAAACCAAAAACGGACCAAATTGGAAGCGGCACCGGCCAGAAGCTGGAGAAGAATAATCCCTGCTTCGGCGAGATCAGTTGCGAGCTAAGTTACCAGACGCGTCATCGCCGGCGCGAGGATCATGAACCGGCGATTCCACTATGCGTTGGCGAGGTTACGAATCAAAATTAGAATTCCGCATTGGCACTAGCTGCAGTTGTTCTTCCCTAATTTTCGAAACCCTTCCTTTTCTCCTCGGAGTTCGATCGGCGACGATGGATCCGGAAAACGACGAAGTATAAAAGAAACGGTAGAGAGAGAGAGAGAGAGAGAGTGAGAATTTGAAGAAGAGATTCTAAGTAGCGCAAGTGGGAGATCCCACGTAAGTTAGAAAAAAGAGGGGCTGTGACGGAGAGAAGAAAATGACACGTGGAATGAGTTGATTGGGCCGTGTGGGTAAAATGCGTGTTGGCGCCGTGACACTTTGCCTATTTTTGAATAGAGGTGGCGTACTCTCTTTCTAGACCGGACCAGAGCAGATGAGTTTAATCTTAATTACGATTAATTAATTGTTGTTTTAGGAGTACGTGATGAAAAAGGGTATGGGCCCCACGTGATTTTGCTTTTTTGAGATGACGGATATGGCCTTGGATTTGAGAGGGTTTTATATTTGTTTGTATTGGGATTATGGTCATTGTTTTGTCGCACTTGTTTCCCACTCATTTACGCAGTTATATTCACTGTAGTGGGATTAGGAATTCGATTTCATTTATGCGCTCACCACATATTACCCTCACACTCTTCTGCTCACTCAACAAACACTTTTTTATTTCATACCACTTTAATTTTAAAACATTACGTAAAATGTTTTTATTATTAATATGATTATAAAAATTATTATTTTAAAAAAATACATTTGGGAGTGAGATATTATACTTTACTATGGAGATGGTTGATGTTTCTATACAAAAGCTAAAATACAAACTCTACCTACTTTTTTTAACTCGCGCATTTGCACACATGCTGCGTATTGCAATTAGTATTGGTGAAAAGAATAACAATTCTTGTAACAGCTGTGGAGTGATGAGTTTAATTTAGAAGGATAAGATGAAGCATGAATAAATGTGTGTTAGACTCAGTGTTAATGTCAAATTAGTGTTAGCAGTGGTTAAGAAACACATTTGAAGGGATGATTATATATTGATGAATGTTAATTTGATTAAAAGAATAAAATAAAAACGATGGGTTAACATGCCAGACAACGACAGAGATGAAGCAATTATGTGATTCCTCTACGTTGTACCAAAAGGTTATTTAAGAGTTTTTGGCATTTCTATCTTTGCAAAATGAAAGTAGCTTTCCATCGCTTTGTAGAGGCCATCAATGCTGAAAGAAGAAAGGAGGTTAACGATCGTTTTCAAAGACATTATATTATTAACTCTCTTTTTTTTTTTTTTTTCCTTTTAAATTCGGGAACAATAGAATGAAAAAGTAAATAATTTTATAATAAAATATTATTTTGTCATTTTTTAAAAATTATTTCAACGTCATTTCTCAGCCACCTCACCCCTTTTCCACGTAGATTGCCTATTTCATAATATTGAATAAACTTGATCGTCATTTTCTAAAAATGCATGGCATAAAATAACAGTGCATCCAATTAGACAATAAAGCTTAAAACCATATTGCAAGGAAATAATTATTAATTGGTGATGACAAAATTGAGGTTTACGCTTAAAAAAATTTGCATGGCTAATTATAATTCTCAGAGATGCTAATAAAGCCCAACACACAAAACTCCTAGTTTATCATGTTAAAAAATATTATTTTAAAATGAAAGTGGTTATTAAAAACAAATGCACAACAAATAAAATTAGTGTTTTCAATGTGTGATTAAAAAACTAAAACTCATTTTGTTCTATTTACTTTTTAAATAATAAATGAAATAAAATTCTCATTCCATCATAAAGTTTTCAAATAATAAAATAGAAAAAGTATTTCATTTTACTTTTGGATTGTGTTACCTTTAATTCGAACTTGTGCTTCTATATATACTATTCTATTTCCATCGTTTAATTGAATTTATTTTATGTCTTTCAATAAATTTTGATATTTTGAAATTGTAAAGACTATCATTGCAAGGAGGTCGAATGGTTGATGCCCATTTTCCAAATCGTGACGCGGGAATGACAACAAACTACGTGTTAGGTTAACCATTTTAATAGTTTTATCATTTTTTTCAGATTACACTGTGAGATTATTATGAACATTAATTCTTTTAATATTTGTGTGTCGGTTTTATTATAGCAATATATATTATGCGTATTACGCGTTGCTCTTGGTTGAACTTGACGTAAGAATTGGTATATTTTGTGTACTTTCATTAAATTTTGAACTAATCATTTCTTTATTGATAAAAATTAAAATTTATGATAGTGTGAACAGGTTTATATTATCATTGAATTCTGATATATTATATTGATAACAATTATCAATTTTTATAATAATTATTTAAAATTTACAGTTTATTTTAAGACTGTAATAGAAATGAACGCTGACCGATGATATGAAAACATGAGCCGTTGAGTTACAACAAAAGAACGAAAGTGGAGTCAACACTGGCTAGGCCGAGTTGACCAAATCTACAGGTCCAACCGGTGGCCTGCACTCATCACAAGCCAAGACAAAAAAAAGTCATAGAGTTGGTAAAATGAGTATTCAATTAAATTATACTTAATTTATTTAGTAAATACAAAATTTAAGCTTTAATTTTAATTTTAAATTTATTTAACATGACCTAATTAAATTTGATGTAAATTAAATTTATAAAAATTCCAAAAAACTGAGTTTAGTATATTTTGAGTATTATTTTCATAATGTTAAATATTTAAATTTTAAAATCAAATTTTCTGCTTATATTAATTTTATTTAACTAAAAAAATTATTTTTAATAAAAAATATTATAACTTAATATTTTTTTTAACATGTATATAGTGAGCTAATTCGAATGGGTTGAGTAATTTGTTTTTTCTACCCTAGTTATATAATAATATATTTTAAATTATATTTTTTTAGTGATTTATTTTTATTTAATTTAAAATAAATATATATTTTTACTTTAAGGCAAATTTAATTTTTAAAAAACAAAGACTTTTCCTACCATGTCAGCCTACCCCCGTTTGAGTAACATGGAAATGCAAACGCGCCAGGCTAGATTGGAACACTTTGTTTAAAATACAAATAAATGAACAATCAAAAGGTCCAAATTGGCTTGCGTTTTTTTTCTTCTCGGATTTACCGTAATAAAATATTTGATGACCTAAAGTATAAAAATAAAAACTTATTTTTAAATACATTAATTTTATTATAAATTTTATATTAATAAAATATTCACTAATTATATAAATAAACACATTAATTTATTGATATACGTTCACTTCTCTCAAAGTAATAATAAAAACATGTTACTAATTGACTTGAGTTTGTTACGTAACCCCATGGGTATTCAAAAAAGGTTGAAAAAAGATACCCTTGTTGGCCGTGGCCGATGCAACTACGTTGTTGTTTGTCGTTGTTTCACCCAAGTGCTGCCTTCAACCCTTGTTTTTTTTTTCACCCCACAAAACAAATAGCCATCGGTTTCAGATCCCACAAAACGCACCATCATACCACTCTTTGCAGTTTGCGCAATCAAATCTTCTACTTTTTCTTGTCTCTGCTTATTAAATTCAGTGATTTTGTGAGAACGTAGCTTTTTTAATCGAGAGAGAGAGAGAGAAACAATGGGTGACTGTACTCTCTGCATCCAAACCAATCACTCCACCGTGAGTCATCAGTAATCACCCTCTTTTTTTTAATTGTCATCATTATTTTCTTACTTTATGGTTATGTTTATGCCTTTTTTTCATAACCCCATTATCCAAAGTGAAAAGTGCATAATCATTCATCTGATATGGCTTATAAAAATCTCAGCTTTCATGCCCACTTACACAATCTATCTCTATTGGTATTAGATTTTAGATATGCATACAAGGTGAAAGGAAAAGGAAAAAAATGGTTTTTGATTTAACCATTAGTACCATACCAGATGGGTTAGAGAGAGTTTATGTGATTTTTTCCCATATATTGATGGATCTCCCTGCTTTTCTTCTTCCTTTCCCTTCTCTAAAATTTTCCTCTTTGCTGCGTTTTTTGTTTTTTTTATCACTCAAAATTTCCAGCTTTTGACTTTTTTGGCTGGTCTTGTGAAAGTTTTTCTTTGATTTGTTTTGATTTTGTGATGGGGTTGTGTAAATGAGATCAACTTTCTCTCCTTTAAAATGAAAATTTTTGTTGACTCTGAAAATCACTCCTTTTCAAGTGAATCTCTTTAACCACTGTACCAGCCTCGTTGGTGTCTCTGCAAAATTCAAGGGTTTTGGAGGACATCTTTTGAACTTGGAAGGTTTCCTTATTGGTTCCGCTTGTAAAAGAAAAGCTCTTGAACAAACTACAATGAAGCATAAACTTTGAAGTGCGTGCTAATTTTGACATGTTTCCAAACGCACGCAAAGTCTATGATTGATATATTATTATAATATATAAGAAGATACTGTCTAAAAAAAGCTGCTATTCCATGTTTGAAAACTGATGGTGTCTTTATTCAAAACAGGATTAATTGGTAGGTTCATGAAGTGAGATCTGTCACAGATCATCTATCTGATTTGTACAGCTAAGAAACCATATTAGAGAGATATATTTTGGAGAGTGGTGAAAATTAATCATCATAACCATGGGATCTTTCAAGGGTCATGCTTTGCCAGGGACATTGTTTCTTCTAGTTGGTGTGTGGCATATATGGGGTTCTGTGGTGAGGTATGTTAGGAATCCTAAGGCATTTCAAGTGAGGGTGTGGAATCCTGTGCCAGGGTTTGATGGGAAGCTCAAGCACCTTGAGCTATATGTTATTGCAATTGGTGCTTTCATTGACTTGTGCATCGAGCTCTTGTATTCAACACACCTCAAGTTTTTTGTTGATGGAGTCCTTAACCCCTCTCACATGAATGACTTTGAGCACGCAGGAATGCTTCTTATGTTTTTCATCTTCGGTGGTGTTACACTACTTACCCAAAAGACCAGGTCAGTTCCTCTCTCTCTCTCTCTCTCTCTAGGGTAAATTATCTATTATACAATTTAAATGTTATTTATTATTGAAGAATTAAGATTGTTTAGGTCATAATTAATCCGCCCAGGTTATTGAGTCTAATAAATCCATATCTTGATTTTACTTTGTCTACCTCTTCGAATGTTTAAAATAAAGAAAATGTTTGATACACCGCTAAAAGTGAACATTTTTAGGTGTTCCATAACATTTTGTGTGTATTTTTTAGATGCATGTATACGGAAAAGATAATAGTAAGAGATATAAACAATAGTATGCAGTATTAATTTTGAGTGATTCAATAGAACTCTAAAAGGATGATGACCGACTCTAGATTTTTTTATCAGCAGGTAAATTTTCCTTTTCATTCCTTGAGTTTTATTTATTTTCGAAATTAAACAAGAGGTAAAGTAGTGCAAAATGGTTGTCAAAAGTCACGATGTAACAAGTTTACTTCGTCATGAAATTGACGTTTTAAGTGCTATATTATTGAAACTAATGAAAAGAATTGGATTCTGATGAACAGTTAATAAATTGGTAATATAGATAAGCCATACTATTGATAACCGCAAATCATGCAGTAAAGCTCGAATAAGTCCATGGTCTGCGCAATTTAACTTTCAAGTCAAAAATTGTTGCTTCTACAGAGTATATCTGATGACCATTACATGCTTTCCTATAGCTGTCTCTCTAGAGGTTGTCCTAGTAATGAAGCTACGTTTTTTTCCTTTGCTCCTTGTGGCACATTGCACTTCCCATACAGTTTTCATAGGACAAATTTTACAGTTGTGTTTGGTTTGCTCTAATTAGTTAGTAGTTACTGATTCATTTACTCACTGAATTATTATTTATTTGGGGGCTATGAAAATTTATAACGATCTCAAATGTTTGATACTGCTCATTATGTTCCATTACTACAGATCTATACCTTTCCAAATCCATGCATTTCTTATAATCCGGCATCTTGAACTCTTTTTTTATCTATCATTTTTGCACTCGATGCTTGATTGTATATTTGATTTCATAATCTGTAGTTTACTAGGCATGAAAAAATTATCAATTTCTTTGAAGCATCTTATTATATCTTTTTAACCGCCCTCCCCTTTTGTGATTTTTTCTTGCATAGATTTCTTCCCTTGCCAGAAGGTGCTCTTTGTTTGATTGCTGCCACAGCATTCTGTGCAGAGTATCTTCTATTCTACTTCCATTCAACAACACACAAAGGCCTTGAGGGATATTACCACACCCTCCTTGTCTTCTTGGTTGGACTGTGTATATTATCTTCAGTTGGTGGAGCCCTTTTGCCTACAAACTTTCCAGTGGATTTATGTAATGGCATTGCAATAGCACTGCAAGGCATTTGGTTCTATCAAACTGCCTTTGTTCTTTACGGCCCTATGATGCCAAAAGGTTGTAAGCTCAGGGAGAATAGTGTCACGTGTAACTCAAGTGATAGTGAAGTTCGTGGTGAATTGCTTGCTAACTTTCAGCTTTTTGTTTCGGTCCTTGTGGTCTTAGTTGGAACTGTGGCTTCATATGGCTTTGCAGCTTCAAGATATGGAAATTCTGAAGTTAATAGCTTGCATACAACTCATGATGAATCAGATGAAGACTGAAGAAATATTGCTTTTTTTTTCCTCTCTTATAGAACGTTTGTATATTGAAGTCAAGGTTCATGCATGTATGATCACTGAAAATTGAAAAGTAACACCCCCCCCCCCCCCAAAAAAAAAAATCATTTTTGTGCTGCAATAATTTATAGGAATCGGATATTAAAGGAACATTGAATTCTTTTCTCTGGCATATGATTACAAACTGATTTTAGTTTTTGATTCTTGTTACAAGAAATAGTAGGGAAGTCCACTTGGATCATATTCTCATTCTTCCTTCGTCACTTTTTGTTTGTGATGATGGCATTTGATGCATTTGCTAAACTCACGTTGCAAATTACCAGGACCATTATTTCACAGAAGAATAAATAATCAAAAAGCTATGCCATGATGCCTTCATTGATTGAGCATTTGATGGCTGCTGGCTACTTTCTTTTTATGATGCAATTTTTAATACTTTTTAGTTTCTTTAAAAAAACATTACATATATTTCTTTAACTTCTTTCCTTTCGTGCAAAAAATATTTTAAATATATGCCCTCTAGTTTTCTTCTCTTCAACCCTTTTCACATCCATTGAAAGATGCGACAACCGATAAAATCAGTAGAATCGGCTCAAATATGTTCATTTTCAACCAAATTTTCAAACGAAATGTTGACCTACCGAAAATAAGCAATTAATATAAGTAAAATTTTATTAAAAGAGATAACTATTATATTTCTATAACTATAATGTAACAGATATACAATTTTTCTCATAATTTTTTTCTATTAAATCCTTTTGAAAATTACAATCCCTCCTTTTCAATTTACATGAAACAATTATTTCCTCATTTTTATTTGTGCGTAGTCTCCAACGTGCATATACATACATGTGCAATTTTCAAAACTAAGCAATTTGCCATATTAAAAATTATTGCAATCGGCATAGGAAACTAAATGATTGACATTTAAATATTAACAATAAACATTATTCCAGTAACGACCTTTCCAACTTCATATTAAAGCATCGAACATGAAGTATGGTCTTCATTGGTATATATGAGCCATTACAAATTAACATTTTTCTTATATGTATATCCCATTGCATAATATGATTTTTGTGGAAGCTATGAAGGATAACATGGATCCTGTTCCCAAGCACATGTAACACACAAATACAACGAGGCTTTCTGAAGTCAAATAGTTATGCCTTTTCCTAGGATAAGTTGGGTCCCAATTCATATAATCTAATATGGAACGATTATGGTTTCTATAAGCTCTTGAAGGGGTGACAGCTCCTTTTTGTCAATCAGCCCGAACTCCTGCATAACAATTGCTTATTAGTTTTATGTTTTAAAGAAAAGAGAGTTTTGAATAGCCTTTGGGCAAAAAAATAAATAAAAATATGGTGTATGTTTAAAACACATTGAAAAACCTCTAAATGAAGATCTAATACAGAAATTATAACTGATAGTGTATGAGAGAGACTTACACAGGTAAAGAGTATAAAATGCTTGAAGCAAGTGTTTAAGTGGGCCTCTTCTTTGAGGCTCACAATTTTCTGAAAGTGAGAATGATATATGTGAGCATATACACGGAACAATCGCTTGAATATTGTCTTCACGACTTCCTTAAAGTTGGCAGGAAATGGTGAACCTACATGATTTAATAAGATTATGGTACAAAATAAACATTATGATGATCAGAGAATCTTTAAGAAAATATAAATCTTCACCAAGCTTCTGGGGGAATATGGATTCATCATCAAGCTGTGATTCAATCCAGTCCATTAGATACTCTACATATTTTGGAGCAGAAACCTCAATAGGTTTCTTAATTTGTACTCCATCTGCCCATCTATACTCATACCTAAAGTTTTCATGGAATGGACAAGACAGCATAAGAGCTACAAATACATAAAAGGTAGTACAAATGAATTTCGAATGAACAGGTGACTGGAATTGTCATTAGCATTAAAGAAATGATGTTTATCAGAAAAACATTTGCACGTAAAGTAATTTGATTTGATGTACTTCCATAAAGGCAGTCTAAAACTCACTCATTACTATATAATGTCTAGATTCTTGAACATGAAAAACTGGCATGAGTATCTGAATTACGATGATTTTGCAGGAACATTGAACCAAAGAAAAGAACACACGACAAAATGATAACTTTAGCATCTCTAAGCAAAAAGTTTTTTTTTTCTTTACCTAAAATAGTGTTAATACATACGTCATAAAATTTAGACAGCCACAAAAAAATATACATATATATATATATAACAAAAAATAAGACATAATTGATAGTTGCTAATTTTTATGCACCTGCATACCCTTTTATGAACAAAATCACCAAAAGCATACAGCATGTAATAATAGCAACTATCAAAACAGTTAGAAACCAAAACTAAAGTCTTCTTCTAAGAGGGGATGCTCACAAGGAGTTAAAAATTTATGACAAAATGATATAAGTTTAAACAACAAATTGAACTTATTTTTATTGTCAGTTAGTTACCCGCTGACTAGCGATAATAGATACACAATAAACATGCAGCTGAGTGATTTTCTCATTCAACAGCTAGGATAATTGACAGAATATCATTGACTGTATTTCTAAATGCATACAAATGTTTTTCCCGTCATAAAGAAAGGTAAACAATGAAATCAATCAGTTAAACATGCCATACTTGGGTCCAGCAGACATTGTCCGACAATTTTCAGGAGTACAAAACTCCGTTAGGGTACCATAGAGCAGATTCACCTGGTTGAAGAAATCAACAGCTAAAATGTAGGCCAACAAAAAAAAAGTCAGAGTACTGCATTTCAGAATTGCATGAATATGCAAATGAGGAAACTAGGGGATAAAAGGCAAGAGAAAACTTCAACGAAAATATAAACTGCTCTTGACAGTGCTTTAGAGAGAAAATAGTTACTGTTAACAGCTAGCCACTCATTTAAATCCTCCCCAGGAGGTAGCTTTACTGCTTCCCTCAGATTTCCACTACCCAATGTGGCATCAATATGTTTTCTAAGCTGAGCTCCCTGCAATAATTATAATAATAATAAAAGAGTAATTAGCAGAGAATTATGTTCATCTTCCATTGCAGCAGGGTGAATCTTAGAAAACCTAAGATAGACCATCCAATTACTCCTTTTCCCCTACTCACATTAATCACAAGAAGTCAGTAGAAATTGAAATTATAACAATCAAGGGATTTGACAATCTTGTGCTCTAGAAATTGGAATTGTAAATATAATTCATCAATATGACAATTTTCGAAAAAAAAATCAGGAAACAGGAATTGGAAGATGTGATTTGTATAAAAAACTACATTATATCAATATATTTAAAAAGTATGTTTAACTCGTACATAATCACGGCTAAGGTCACAATTCAAAATTAACAAAGTAGCCAGCTTGACATATCCACACAATTTTGTACCAAAAATTAACACACAGATGTCAAAAATTTGGCAGATGCTGTTGTAACACATGTATGGTGAACAGAGAAACATCATCAACTTTGGAGAATCCATGCATTACAAGGTAATATTGTAAATTATATCCTTACAACTTCAAAATCAATCCAGTTGATGTACTTTTGCATTGAAGATGACATACATTGGGTATAATATGTAAATCCATTTCCTGTATATTCACTGCCTAAAAGTAGCCGCTTATGGGTCACAGACCAATCTATTTTACTTCTAAATGTGTTCCCTTTCCCACCCTTTTAACATTGTATTTCTAAGATATGAAACATGATTTAATAAAAGAACATTTTAGAGCTTAGAGCACTCTAAAAGATTTTCTTTTATTGGGATTTATTTTGCAGGGTCATAATTAATGTAAGGCCTTCCACTATCCCCTCACCCCCATGTGCACATGCACAAAATAATGAATGAAAGACTGACTAGCTAATAATGCCAAGGCCCTAGGCTTTAAATGAAGAGACAAAGATTAAAATACTCAAGAACAATTTAAATTAATAAATTATATTGAATAAAATATCTAAAAAAAGGATCCCTGAAAAACAAAAGGAACCAACCTTACTTCCAGAAGGAGTACTCTTTTTAGGGCGGAATGTTCTCTGGTTTCTGTTGCAGAATAATATCAGGTATATTACCAACAAAGAATGGAAGAGAATCAAACTAAATTGAATTACTAAAACATTCATCAACATCTTTTGCACCTGTGACAAGAGCACCAGTATAAAGCAAAGTTGCACTTATAGCAATAGTTATTTCTCTACAGTTAAGAATTAACTTCTTAAGAATGACGATTTGTGTTGGGAAGCTTAATTCGTGATTACCACACATTTGTGACTATTTAGGGAGAGGGGGATGTCCAATAAACTTGAATGGCCTAATTATACAAACATTTTATTGAATTAGTTGCCAAATAATCAACAAATAATTAAATAAAAAAGGGCTGGCCAAATATGAGTAGTGATCAAGCAGTCTCTGTCACCACAATAAACCAACTTAGGTTGATGTCCATAAAGAAGACAAGAAGGGTAAGTGTGGTCTACACGGCTTTGAAATGATAAAGAAGTGTGGATTATTGATCAAATAATAGGACCTAGAAGAGATGAAGGAAATGTGCAGACCATAAATTGAGTGGTAACGACTGAAACATTGTCATCTTCATATTAAAGTTAGGAAGAATTTAAAGATTCAAGAATTTGTTTTCATGAAAGTACTGACTCTTGTGGCAGTGAAGAAATGATGAATAGTCAATAATATTTTTAAGCTGCCTTACAACACTTATTTTTCCAGAAATGAGCTCGTATTAGGTTGTATGAGGAACAAATGCTCTTCACTTGGTCAAAAGGGAATATCAGATAAAAACAAATTTTGTATGTGTCACTCATGACATTGCAAGGAAGACATGTTTACTCATCAGTACTTAAAATATGCTGAAAATCTCCTCAGAGTTTAAGAGCCAGAGTTAGAATATAGAATGATAAGAGGACAGCAAATCAAAATCTATGAAAAAACCATTTCAAATAAAAAATGGAAAAAGTCCTTAAAGGGAGGAACAATATTGTAGAAATTTCATTGAATAATTTTTTTAAAATTTATTTGTAGCCACAGAGACAAAAGAACAGAGAGGAGAGAATCAAAATATAAGCTCCTTAGATTCAAATAATAGATAGATTAATTAGATATCATGTTCAGCAGGACAAAGATGAAAACATAAACAAGACAAACAAAGCTCTTTCACAAAACCTCGCACAGTTATTCTTCCTGAAACTTCAAAAAGAAAGTTTACTATCCAGGCAAATCCAAAATTATGCTATTGGATAAACAAAGTAATTACAACTTATTTTAAAAGATATCACACAAACATTAAAAAAAAAAAAAAAAAAAAAAAAAACTAACAAGTGCTTCAGTCTTCTAGTAAAAATAGAAATTAGCCTCCTTTATGTTTAAATATATCTGACCCACCACACTTTGAGCAAGTTAAGCCAACTTAGCTTAATCTATTCCGTTTGGAGAAAAAGAAATTATTTCCCCAAAATAACCTATTCCCCCAAACATGCATGAAACAATTCCACTCCGTTTCCTATTGAGGGTAATCAAAGAGTGTAATGAATTAACAATAGATCAGTGAAAACATAATAGTACTGCCCACTAAATTTTCTCATATTCATATACATGAAAGTCAAATTGGATGCTACAACACGATCGAGATTAAAAAAATTCACTGAACAATAAGGTACCCGTTTAAATTCTGACCAGATCAGTGATCAGATCATAGAACGAAAAGCCATTAAATGAAAAGAATGAAAGGTGGAAGATTGAAAGTTGGGAAGTATGAATTGCAGTAAAAACAGAAACCTTTTGGCACTGACCTTCCTATACCGAAGAGGCTCATGGCTGGGGTGAGAGAGAGAGGGGAAAGTTTTGGTGTTTTTGCTCTTTCTTTCAGTTTCAGGTCTCTTTTCCACTCCCAAGTTTCCAGCTTAGAATTCCAATATTTCATTTTTCTATTATTTTTTATTCTTCAACAAATTTACTGAATCACCCTTCGTTCTAATTTAATCCCTCCTCGGTCCTTTTGGTGCTCATGGCCTGACGTATGCGTGATGTAATTTTGTAATCGTATATTTTGATAATTAGTTAAAAATGAACATTTATTTATTTGTCTCTTTTTTGGGAAGCAATATTAGTAGGAAGGGTATAAGTTAAATTTGATTTATAAAAAAAATATGATATTGAAGTTATAAATAATTTTTTTGTACATATAATTTTTTTTAATTCGAGGTTTAAAGTTTATTTTTTAAAAAATATAAAATTTTATTTTTATCTTATCTTTTACATATTTAATTTTTTTATTCAGATAAAAAATTTGATATTACACATTAAATTATAATAATTTAATATATTTAGTAGTTAATGAATTATTTTTTTATTTGTTAAATATATGTTTTAAGTATTTTAAATGATTTATTACTGAATAAGCATTTTATATTAAAATATAAGATAAAAGAACAGATAGAAATATAATAAAAATATATTTAAACGCAACAATTATGTAATGACAACTTTTAAAATAAAAATTATCATTTATTAAATTTGATATTTTTCTATCACTATACAGTATATATATCCCTAGCGGTGAATTTTGGGTGAGAAGGGGGCAACTTTTCCTTTTCTTTAACAAAAATAAATATTAATAAATGGTTATATAAAAAGTTTCAAACTTTTTTATTAAATTAAAGTTTCATTGTTATTTTAAAAACCTTATATAATTTTGCCTCTTTATTTATATCAATTTTATCCATATATGCCACAAATAATTGTAATTATTTTTTACTTTTGTAGAAATCAAAATTTTTTGTCTGGAATTAAATTATCTTCAATAGTTTATAATAAAAATATAAGTTTTAAATCTTTTTTATTTTAAAATTGTTAGTTTAAACTATATATGTCATGCAATTTGAAAATAAAGGAAGTAACTTCTGTTATTCCATTTATGATGTCAAGAAAAAATAGTAGAAGACAAATTTGAATAATTTATATGCTGGTTTTCTCATTCTTCTTGCTTGACAAGATATACCATCCCATCAACAAAGGAGTGGAGAAAACATGTCACAGTCAAAATCAAGGGGTTTTGTTCATTAGACTAATTTTGGATTAAAACAAATCCCAAAAATAGTCTTTGACATTTTTTATTTTATATGAAATATTTGTTTACACTTTAATTAGGAATGTTATAAAAACAATTCAATCCATTATAAACTGTTAAATCGATTAAAATATTTACAAAATCAAATTATTGGATAACAAAATAAATAAAAAAACAACCACATTTTTTTATCTGTTTTTTATTCTATCTTTGAATAGACACTAACTTATAACATATTGAATTGAATGCGATATTTTTTTTTTAAATAAGATTATTTAATTTTTGAATTTTAATTAGAGTAGGTTGTGATTTTAGTGCCTTTAGCAATTTTTTTATGATTATATAATTAATAAAGTTTTAGTTGTTTACTGGCAAAAATAAAATGTTACCCCTTTAAAAAAACCAAAATCACTGATTTACTAAAAAAAAAAAAGACTATTCCAATTTAAAATGCTAAAGATTAAATTGAATTAATTAATTCTGATGTTATTTTAAACTGCAAAAATATTATGATCGAATCAGTTTTTCTTTTACCTTAAAATTGGTTCATTTTATAAAATAATAATTAAAGTGGCACCTTTATAAAATTAAGAATTGAAACAAATCATGTTTATTAAAAAATAATGTAAAGATAACTAAAGTACATGGTGTTTTACTCTTCAACTATCACAGTGGTGAATGGTAGAATTTTTTGAATTCGATCTATTTAACATGTCAGTGAACTAATTTTTGAAAAAATACATGTTCTATGATACTTTATTGGTTTTCATGTTTCTTATATTTAAATGTTTTAGACAATGTTTAATTTAACAAGCTGAGTCAAACCCTTCACAAAATTGAGCAGCAAAAGTCGATTAATTAAATTAATTAGGATTATTAATTAATACATATTTATAAAAATAAAAAATAAATAGTCAAATAAATAATTTTTTTAATAAATATTTTTACTTATAATTTGTGGACAAATTTATTCTTTTGCTGTATTAATATTTTTATAAGTATTTATTTAGATGTTTAATAAAATTGTACTTTAATTATATTAAATTTGTTTTTAAAAATGTAATTTTTATTATTTAAAAATACATTTTTATTCACTTCATTGAGATATTGGAACTAGTGAAAGTGTTGTGGGCTTCTATCAGTATGTAAAAAACTACGAACTATCCTTTTTGCGGATTTATTTTTTAATTTTTAAAAGGAACGAAGGCAGCCCTCAACTACACGTATTTTTTACCTTATTGTTTTAATAATTAATCATGCAATAATTGCACATGAAATCAATAATGTAAGTGTATTTTTAAATTAATTGAATTAGAAAAAATGCTAAAGTCCATGAAAGTTAAGAACTATCATTAAATTGTATGATACTGTAAAAAGAAATAAAAAATAACTATTTGTGTTTTTTTTTTTTTTGTGGTTTCCTTACTTACTAACAATTTTTTTTCACTACTTTACAGGATGAATTTAGGAACAAAATAATGAATATATTTAGCATTGTATTTAATTAAAATTTTAATTTATTTTAATGATAAATATTGTTTTTATTGCAATTTTTTTTTTGTGCACAGAAAAACTCAAAATTACATACTGAATTCAAACTTATGTTTACTAAAATTAACACTTATTAATGCACGTTTTCATGGTTTAATTCACAATATTTTTATATTAATAATTTTGGAAATTAAACATGAGATCACAAACTAAAGAGACAACTAAGAAGTCTCCTTGAACCCACATTCAGTTAAATGTACTTTTAGAAATTGCTTAATCTAAAATTTTTAAATTAAAAAAAATATGACTGAAATTAAAAAGGAAACATGAAATATTAAGTACCTGCTTTAGCAAAAATTGTAATCAATATCTCTCATTATCACATACTTTCATATAAATTTATGATTAAAATTGGTTTTAACTATAAAATAACCCAAAAATAGACACTGGCAACTGACATTTTTATAAAATAAAAAAAAAGGTTAAAATATACGAGTTTGGTGAACGACTGACTGACGACCAGGTATTTCTATTTTTATACTTTAATTTTTAAATTATATCTATCAGTTTAATATATGAATTTTGTAAAATTATATTTTAATTTATAAATTTATAATTTTTTAATATAAAACAAAAAATCAGAATAAATATTTTTCATCGCTTTGTAATTTCTTTTTAATACTTTTTATATTATTTAAAATTTTAAAAAATTACTTACTTTTTTAAAAACGTTTTATTACAAGAATTGATGACAAAATTAAATTTATATTTTAACATTTTTTTAATGGGTACTTTAAGACATTGTTTAGTATTTTTGTTAAAAATAATAATAAAAAAGGGGTTTGAAGGTTCCTTGACTCATAGTTATTGTTAATAGAATGCTTGAGTAGCAATCCCTACCATTCCCATTTCCCAATCCCAAACATGTCTCAGTTAATCTAACGCGCAATCTCTTCTCTCTCACTTGCATTCAATTCAAGCCATGAGCGTACCTTCGGCGCCGTCGATGTGGACGGCGACTCAGCCTCCGTTCACGGTGGCGCAGTGGCAGGAGCTGGAACACCAAGCCCTCATCTTCAAGTACCTGAAAGCGGGTCTATCGGTTCCCCCAGACCTTCTCCTTCCCATTCGCAAGAGCATGTCTCAACCAATGGGTTTCTACGGCAAGAAGATTGATCCTGAACCCGGTCGCTGCCGGAGAACCGACGGCAAAAAGTGGCGGTGCTCTAGGGATGCTCACCCTGACTCTAAGTACTGCGATCGCCACATGATACGACGTCGTTACCGTTCAAGAAAGCCTGTGGAATCTCAACCTCAAACCACCACCGCCACCTCACCTACTCCTACTCCTCCTCACGCGCTTCCCTTGCACACCAATGGTACTCGCCAGGGTTTCACTTTCTCACTCGCCAACACCAACCCTCACCTTCACATCGATCCTCTGTCTCTTCCTGGTCACTCTAACAAGAAAACTTTTAGGTATCTTATATTTTTTATTAATTCATTCGTTATTTGGTTCTCCGAATTTCTTAATTGTTGTGATAGCTGTCTTTAGGGTTGTTTGAGTTTTTTACTGTAGTTTTCTATTGGAGTGTGTGTGTTTTCGTTGTGTGTTATTGTGTTATACAGTTAACATGGTGGTTATGATGCTAGGTCATGTGCCTGACTTGTGGATTATTGTGATGTGTGGGACGAGACTATGAATTTGTGAGAGTGAGGTGTGAGTCATTTGGATATGGTTTTTGAGTTAGATTTGTGTGTGTTTGGAAACATGCAGTACTAATGAGCTGTCATTGTGAATTCAACGAGCCTTTTTTCAAAATTTTTGGCCAGTTTTACACGTTGAAGCGATTTTCTACTTTGCCCCGTGGTATATGGGCTTGCTGTGCTTTGGTTTGGTGTTTCTGGATTGTATTTAATTAGGCGTTGCGGTGTATTGTGGGAAATTTATGAAGTGCCCGATTTTTTTGTAATTAGGATTGTCTTTTTGCGGTTTAAGATCACAACTTCGTGCTCTAGGTTAATTTATTGAAATATTTGGTAGACATGCGTTTCACATTTATTTAAAATATATTGTAAGACGTATAGGGCATGGTGTTTGGCGAATGAAGAAATATCGGGTTATGGGTTGATAAAATTGGAAATCAAGGGTTTGCTGATGATTGCATATTAGCAAACTGAAGTTATGGTGGGGGAATTGACATTAACGTGTGATACAGTTAAAGCAGTCAAGGAAAGGTAATTTCATGATGTTCGACTGTGCATCCAAACAGTGATTGATGAAGTTAGATAATTGTCAAGAAATGGTGGTTCATAGCTTTGTGCTTTTGAAGGAAATATTGTATGTCTATTGGGTCATCAGTGAGCTCTTATGGAGTCATGTCTTTATATCTTCATTTTTTTGTGTTGTTGTTTTTCTTCCCTATCACTCGGAGATACATTCTTATGTAGCCTTGCCATACCTGTGTTTTCTTTTTTTTGGGGGGGGGGGGGGTGTTTGTCAATGACGGAGCTGATATTGATACTATGTGATAACTAAGAAATGCTCGTACTGAAGGTGACTTTTCTCTTTTGTAAAGTAAAAAAAAAAGAAAAAAAAAGAGTAGGAAACATGAGATGGAAGATAATGATGAGAGTTATATTTTGGTCCCCGAAATAAGTGATTTTACTCTTTATAAGGAACTTTTGGGATTTGAGTTAATGGATATTATCATAATTTTATGACAAATGAACATGGGAGCGTCAAAATTGCCTTATGCAGCATGTAACAGCAGTTTTCTTCTGGACAGAGCCTAAATCATTGACCTCACTAGATTCATGTGCAGATGGTGGATGCTTTTGCAATTTATGGCTGCAGTGACTCCAGCCTCTAAGCATTTGGATCCATTTGTAGCCTTTCATAATTTTTTCTTTAATATTTTTAAAAATTGTTGGTAATTCCCTATTGTGCACAATTGAAACATATGGAGCAATATGATATTTACTTAACACTCCATAGGTTTGGACTGAATTCCGAAGCAGATGATGAGCACAACCTCTTGCAGAAAGATCTGGGAAGTGTGAGGTATCAAGGTTATGACTTTACTGCAGATGGCATGTGGTCTCACATGTCTCAGATTCCATCAAACACTGTTTCAGAATCGAGAAGTGGTTCTACTATGGCTGGCAACTGCTTCCAACAGCAAACTATGCGAGATCCTGAGCTCTTGAACGTGGACACGGCAAGGACCAAGGAACTTGCCTTTAGTGGCCAGTTAAGTTCAGCAGGGTGTTTAAAACAGGAATATCAGTCCTCACAGTCTCTCTTCAGTGACTGGCACTGGAAGAAGGATTTAAGTTCCTCTGCAGTTGAGTATAGGCCCAACAAGGATTTTAACTGCAACCCAGATGTCAACGTTGATTCAAATGGTTCTCTGTAAAGCTTGCACAGTGTGTTTTGTCGTATGTCATGTCAACATCCTCCCGAAGCAAGCATTTGAATCACCAACTGGTCCCCTACCCTTTGTTTCCCTCCCAACCGATGAAAATAAAAGTCCTCAGGCAGTGATTTATTTTCATCAGTAGTATTTAGATACCCGAGGGAATCATGGTTTAATTTCTAAGCTTCAATGTGTTGTTCTTTTATATTAGCTTAGATACATACTTGAAGGAGTTCTGTTTTCTTTACATGTAAACCTGTAACATTTGAATGTGCTTTTGTTTTTCTTTGTTGTACTGCCATTTAGTTTGGTTCATGTTTCCTATGATTGAAGTCCCATGATTGTTAGACTCATTTTGCTATTTTCAGCCATCAAGCATGCTCACGAGGATGGTTAATTATTGCATGAATGGTTGTGAATGACTAACATTCTTTAACATGGTATTTGGGACGTGGAATCAATGATGTGGCAGTATAAGCGGTGTTAGACTCTGTAGAACCTTGAAATTGATGAGCGGAAGTGTGAGAGGTGAGGGGCAAATGGAATAGTGCTTTGCATTGGAATTTAGATGCAAATATGGCAGTGAAGTGATGCTTTCGTAGCTACGGCGAACATGGGTTATTAATGAGATGTGCAGTGGTGGTTGGCTTTATTAATGTTTTAGTTTGGAGTAGCATTTCGAGGTAGGAAGGCGGTGGTGTTTCACAATGGTTTTTTTCTTTATGATTTTATTTGGTTTTGATAATATTAACTTTTGTGATTAAATTTAAGTATTTAAAAGTAATCATTTTAATTAAAAATGTACTTATTACATCTTTATTTTTTAATATAATAAATAATTTGTTTTTAAGGTCAGATTAATAATTTTTAAAATTTTAGTCTTTAGAAATTTTAATAGATTGTCTCTAAAATACATGATTTTAATATCTAGTGAGAGATTAAAATTATGTATATTTTCTTAAATACAGGAATTAAAATTGAATTAAATTTTTATAAACTTTCAATCACAACAATTTAAGTTATTCTTCATATCTTCGTTCACTCACCTTTAGTCAACTATTTCAACTATGAAAGTGGGAGTGATAATGATAGGAATAGTAATGTCTATGATATGGTAGTGGTTACAATCCAATAGGTGATTATGAAAACAGTAAGTGGTGATGATAATTATGATACTTGTCTTTTCAAGGGTTAGAGAGAAGTCAGTAATTTATTTTATAACTAAAAATTTATACTAAAATTGTTTATTTTTGTTTTAAAAATTGAGTTAAAAGTATTTCAAATAAATTTTAAAATTAGTTTAGTTTCATTTTCCAAATATGCTTTGTAGTAAAATTTATATGTAAAACTAAAAACTAAAAATTAAAAAATTGCAATGATCTCTAACATACTTTTCATTTTCTATTTTTGAAAGTTCTTTAAAAAAATGCAAAAAGAATATTAAAGAAAAAACTCAACTTAATTTGATTATCCTTTTTTAAATCATTTTTTTCAAAGAAAAAAAACTATTTGATACGGATACATGATTCTTGACATAACATATAAATTTCATTATTTATGATGTTGATAATGAGTTTGGACTTGGACCACACTTCATATGATTTTATCATAAAATGAAACCATATGAGATGATTATCTCGCTAGTTATGATACAATGTTGTACAACATTCCTTATATATATATATATATATATATATATATATATATATATATATATATATATCGAGAGAGAGAGAGAGAGAGAGAGAGAGAGAGAGAGTTAACTTAAACATTAAGAACCTCAAAAGTTGCCAAAGAAAGGACCAGAAAAAAGGAGGTGGAACAGAACAAGGACTCACTAAAGGAAATTTATGATAGAAATTTAGACATTATTTTGTTATTTACCAAAAATGAATAACATGAATACATAATCATAGTTGCATGAATTAAAACACCATTATATTAAAGGAAAAAGAAGAATGGTACATACTTCTCGAAAGCATAATTATTGACTAACTTGAATATCTTGACCTGTCTTGCAATATATTTAACAGTCTTCAATAAATAAACACATAAATAAGAGTGGGATCTTTCTCTCCTTTTCTTTTAATCAAGAATCGATGAAAATTATTCAAATTGTATAAAAAAGTTATAATCATGTGTCCGAAGACACATTTATAGAGAAAGTGGAGAGAAGATCTAGTCGCAATGGTTCATTGCATACACATTCATGAAGAGTTGTAATAGTTCTACCAAACATGAATCTAATACAATAATAGGCTGTATTATTCAAGTACACTTCATGTGATATCCGATATCCACTGATCACAAAATGAATATTCTACTAAGATATCATTCAAATAATAGATTCTTTTAAATCAATGGAAAACCAATCATATAAAATAAACATTTTATTGTATATCCAGATCAATTTAATCATATAACTACGCACTATACTGTCTTTTATTATGAATCATAGAAAGAATCAAAATTAATTGTGTATCTAGCACTACAGAAGGATTAACCTTTCTTCAATCCTCGCTAAGAAATAAGATAGCAACAAAATAGGATAACAGAGCACAACATCCTATATCTAACAGCTAGGGTTTTACACACACTAGGAAAATTTTGTAAGAACAATTTTTATAGCCACATCAAATAAGAATATTAATCTCTCAACAACCATTACATGAGAGCTTAACCCATCATATGTCATTCAAAATAAATGCTCAATTTCAGATTCATCAATTAATCAACTATGGTTTAAGGTTGATAACCTCTATACTCTCAATACATTCTAGTTAAATTCATTACTAATCTAAAAAATTATCATATTTAAATAGTTAATTAATGTTAATCCAAAAAGTATAGGCATAATTCAACAACTACTACTCTTAGAATGAAAGTAAAATACAGAATTTCAATATGCCTGTCACTTTCTCTAGCAAGACTAGAAGACGAGTAATGACAAAACATATTTCTCCACAACTGTAAGCAAGTCCATCAAAGAAAGACAGAAGATAAGAACTGACAGAAAAATTCCATTGGTGTCAATTGTCAAGGACTAAGCAATGTCAATTTTTCCAAATTACCACAGAAATTACACTCCAAAACATGAGATGGTACATCATCTTTTGGAGGCAAAGGAGCCATAGTGCCAGCACAATTCTTTTTCTCGCAAACATACTTGTTAAGGAAACGCACGTGTGGCAAGTCACTGTTCTCTCCTTGGCTTTGCCCATCATTCCAATTTGCTTCAATCTTGCACCTATCACAGTCACAAGTGAATCCATAATCCTCCATCAAGATCTCCTTCCTAGTAGGATAATCCCTGCTGATCCTGAAATAGCTAATGCAAACCTCTTTCCCTTTAGGAACATCCTCAATCAACCTAATAACAATGTCAGTGTTGTGCTCATCACCAGGATCACTAGTGTCCACATAATCAAACCGACATGCATTGGGAATACAATCATGGTTAAAAAATGTTGCTTTTGGGTAAATAGCATATGCTTTAATGGATCTTTGAGGCCCATCAGGGGAATAAGGATCCATTAAGCAAAAGGAGTTCAGTCTATCCTTGGCAAGAAGTTGAGAAATAAATTCAACAGAAAAATCACTGAGGGGTAAGAAAAGGGGTGAGATCAAAGAGTGAAGAAACTTAGCAGCATCAACAATGGTAGAATCTGGAGTGCCATGAAGAGAAAGTAGAGTTTGTAGATCCGAAGGGGATTGAAGGAAAAGGTTGTAAGCAGCAACAATGAAACGAGCTTGGACTTGGCGTACATGGGATTGTTGAAACAGTGAATTGGAATCTTGCAGAAAGGACAAAGCTTTGCATACCCATGAAGAGTGTGATGATTTGAGGGCAATGGAGAGGCAGTTTTGGGTGCAGAAATGGTGGTGAGAGCAAGAAGGGCATGGAAGAGTGTGAGTGTTAGATGGTAAGATTCTGAAGCAGTGATCACAGTAAGAGAAAGATGATGAAGAAGAGAATAGAGGAGAAGAAGAATAGAGAACGAGAGGGGGTTCTTTGAGAATTATTTGACCAGCTTGAAGGGATTGTGCTGCAACAAATCCTCTACCTTTTCCAGCAATTTGCTCCATTCTCAAGAGAGAGTTCGAAAAATCCATCAGTTTTTTGTTTAATTGATGTGCGTTGCTCTCAAGTTTCAATCGTGATGGCTTCAGAGCGGTGGCATGTAGCAATTGATGCAGATAAGCTTTTAAGCTAGCTGCGTGTGTTTGTTTGTTTGTATTGGATTATTTGTGTTGATTATGCAAAAAGCAAATTACAAAAATATTTTTTTTTTGTTTAATAAATTTTGAAACATTAATTTATGGTTTTTATAAAACAAATAATTGAGTTAAGACAATAAAATTTTAAATTTTATTATTATAAGTTGTTAATTTTTTTGTAGCTATATGTTATTTTTAAATTTATTTTGACTATTAATGATTTTAAATATAAAATTAACTATTACACTTTTAATAATTTTATCTTAAAAATGATTATTTTATGTAATTTTAGCAAAATATATTATTTTAAAATAAATTCTAATAATTTTTTAATCAAATTTGATATTTTTATTTTAATTTAAGTAAATCTTGATTTTTATTTAGTTAATTTTAAGTAAGGAAAACTTTAATAATGATATTATTTTATAAATATTTTGAAAGAATTTTTTTTATTTTTTAATGAAATAAATAAATAAAAATAAACTTATTTAGTTTTAAAAATAAAACAAAATTTAAGTCATTCAATAAATTTATTAAATCACACATAATTTAAATTTAAATTTCAAAATATAAATAAGTTATTTTGTAATTACTTTAAACACAATACGTCGACGTTTGGAGACAAGATGATGCAGATGGCTGCATATCCAAAAGGGCGCAGATATTGGTGATATCCTTCACAACCTTATCCTTTGCAACCCCTAATATCTCACTCTTTCCAATGTCTTAACTCCTATGTTCCTATTTTCTTCCCATAACATGTCTCACCTGTAATCTTCAATCATCCATCATCAACATAATCATAATGGCTACAACTACCGCCACATTGTTCAATCCACAATTTCTTCACATGGTTCTCTCTATTTCTTCTATCCATTTCACCAACAATTTGCTTTTTCTTTGTGATTCTAATTGCTTGATTATTTGTGCAGCATGGTCGGAATAGCATATGGGTACTCACAAAGATGAGTTTTTTCAATGCAAATGTGAAGTTTGAATGTTCTATTCATAGATCAAAATATCATCATGACCTTGCACCTATATGTGCAACCTTGAGGGACCCTAAGGGGTTTGGACCTTCTCCAAAGAAAAGGAAGAAGAGCAAGAACATGAAAAAGGACTATGAAGAAGAAGATGATGACGAAGAAGAAGAGGAAGAAGAGGAGCCAGACAGAGGAGTTATCCCTGAAGTGGTGACCAACAGGATGATGAGTAGAATGGCAGTGTCTGTGGGGATTCCATTAGGTATTGGGCTTTTGTTCTTCCCATTATTTTACTATCTCAAAGTTGGGTTGAAAATTGATGTGCCCACTTGGATGCCCTTCATTGTATCCTTCTTTTTCTTTGGGTCTGCTTTGTTGGGAGTTAGTTATGGGATTGTGTCCTCTAGTTGGGACCCTTTGAGGGAAGGGTCCTTTTGGGGTTGGAATGAGGCCCAAAAGAATTGGCCCGTTTTTTGGCAGTCCCTTAGAGGGGATGGATCACGGAAGAATTAGCCCTTTTTTGCCACTGATATCCACTTCCTTTTTCTTAAAAAAGTTAGACTATAAAGTACTTGAAAGTATAGCTTTTTTCTCTTAAATTAGTTTGTGTCTAGAGAAATATATATTGTCTCTAATGCTAATAAATGTGTAACTTTTTTTTTGGAAAAAAAATGGTATTGTGTAAGTTTCCAACCTCATTCGCGTAGGAGTTGGACTTTATTGTGTGTTATGTACTAGGCTTGATTGTTGGATCGATTATTCAAAGTTGATCCAAGAAGGCCATTAATATTTCAACCTTCACTGATATGGAAGATAGGGGCGATCATTAGCCCAGAAAGTTATGTGATTGTTCATGATAATTAGAGTGAATGAAAATAGATCAAAAGAAAAATAAAAAAAGAACGAAAAGAGAACAATGGGTAGACCAAAAGAAAATCATACCCTTCTTTTGTCCCAAGCACTTAAAAGTTAGATTAAATTAACCATGAACATGTGGATGAAATTCCTATAAAGTTCCAAATTTCAATTGAGGCTCCATTGTGCCACTCCTTGCATGTTTTGACAATTTAGCTTCCACAAGTAAATTGTGGCTTTCTCCATCATATATAAGATATATTGCATAATTTACATATATTATCCGAAATCCTATAATAAGAATTATATATTAACAAGCAATTACTGAGATGATCAGTTGAATCATTATTACTTGTAGTCAAAACCATGTCTTCTAGTCAAAAAGCTTCTTAAAACTTGGAGGGTATTTCAAAAAAAGCAATTTCAAAATATTATTAATCAAATAGAAAATAAAAAGTTGGCTTTACTGCATCAGTTGGAACTTATTGAAGAGATTGATGACCAATCAGTGCATGGAGGAGAGGAAAACACGTGCAATTCTATATACCTGAACTTACATTGACTCATCATGTCTTTATGTTCCACAGGCAGGTGAACCATTATGTCCTTTTCCTTCACAGTAAAGTAGGACACACACGCAAGAAGTAATTACAAAATATATAAATAAATATATATTCAGAAATTTGCAGGACCCTTTTCGCAAATCAATCAAATTGCTGTAACATACGAATTTGCTGCAACTCCGTTTCTTTTCTTTAAAGGGTTTGGTACATGGACAGTTTTAAATCTTGTCTGTGTAAAGAGAATCAACATAAAAAAGAAAGTGGTGGATTGAACGTTTTCCTCTTCGTTCAGAAGAGTAGTTCAGGCACATATATAATTTTATCTTTTTCCTGTGACCCTTTTCTCTTTTCTAATTTTTCAACCTTTATTCTGATCATGTAGAATCAAAACATGCTGAATATTCAGATTACCCCTATTTAATTTAATTTAATTTTCTTCCCTCTCCAACCCTCCCCCACAAAACAAATTAACAAATGGATTAGTTTGTCTCCATCTAAGCAAACCTTTTTTCTTTCTTTTATTCTTTCCCCCTCAAATTCATCAGAACTCAAATCATGCAATAACCCTGTCCTTTCTCCTTTTAAAAATCAATCTACTCATATCCCACTTCTAATGATATTAAAATCTTTTATGTCATAATTAGTCTTTAATCCTTAATCATTGCATGGTTCCTTTATGAATAAGTAAATCCTCCCAACTTGACCCTTGCTTTCTTTGTACTTTTTAAGAGGCCATATAGATAAGACTACACAAAAGATCTAGGAATCCACATTAGCAAAACGCCAAGATCGTTGGTTTGAATTTCCAACATGCATAAAACCGAGTTTGAAAGAAGTTGCATGTATACCCCAGCTGCTTAAACATACATGTATAAGTGAGAAGTACGGATAGGTTTAAAGCTTCAATAAACAGTATTTGCACGAGACAACCCACTTGTCTCTCTTCTTTTAACACATGGTAAGTAATGTTTTCATCTGAAACAATAAATCAAAGATACACATAAAAACCAAAGTAATCAGACCTAAACATTGGAAATAGGGAAAGAAAGACTTGGGATTGATTGGGATTATATGTAGATTTGCTTTGGGGGATAGGACTGCTGAATGTGGAGCTTTATGATCGCTTTTTATAGTACATTATTTATATATCTACTACTACTTACCTATTCTTGCTCATTAGAAAATAAAAAACAGAACATTCCTAACGTTAAAAAGTGGTATAATCTACACCATGTTTCCATGTCCTCTCAACCTTTCATGGGATTTTTGAATTTGACTTTTGACAAGCTTGATGAAACGTATAGATTCCAAGGCTTTTAATATTACAACATTAGGATCCATTAGGAATAGTACGTGTCCAATGGACAAATGGAATTAGTAATAGCATGATTTGACAGTTTTGATATATAAATAAAACCACAAAGGGTTAATCACATATGTATATATATATATATAGACCCCTCAAAATGTCAGATTTCGTTTTTACTGCAAATAAGTACCCAAAAAAAATGTAATTTATATAAGTTAACAATTGTGTTTTCTCTTTATAAACATAAAAGATAAAGAAAGAGATATGAACAAAATAAATAAGATCTAATTAAAGTGTCGGATATATTTGAATTCTCTTCAAAACCAAACCAATATGAGGAGGGAGGGAAGGAATGACTTTGAATCTTGACTATGCTTTCTTCATCAACAAGATCTGGTTAAAACATCTTTAACTAAAGCATGACCCCCCCCCCCCTCAAATGACACGTGGAATATCCATTTCAGGCTTAGAAAGAGAAGAAACACAAACCTTACACTATACAATGTGAAAAATACAAAAAGAGATTGTAGTAGTTTTATATTGGGTAGTTTAGTTGTCCCTCTATTCCAAGCATTCTTTGCTTAAAGAGAGAGTTAGCCCCAGGAATAAAGCAAAGGACAAAAACAAGTGATGGGTTAAAGGTAAAAAGCACATCATCACTTGCTTACAATGCTAAAGCACCCACATTTGACAGCCAATGCTGACAACCTACAATAGCCAGTAGCACACTCTCCGGACCCTGGCCAAAAAGTATCATTTGCTTCTACCTTCTGCCATGCAACAACCTATTAATTATATTTAGGCACCGGTCATAGCCGGTACCCAGTGCTGTTCTGCGTACTAATTAATTACTCTCAACTCTGACCCTTTGGGGGGGCCCTAATGGTTTGAGTTACACACACTGACTATGCTCGATGAATTAGTCAGTGCAATGAATGAAACAAGAGAGTCTCTTTGTTTTAAATGTTAGTATAATTGATTTTAAATAGTTAAATGTAATTAGAAAGTGTGTCCAACTTAGTTTCATCTACAAGTTTAGTATATTTGAAGACACGAAATAAATTCAATACATGAATTATAATGAATAGCATTAAAGTAATGTAAATCAAGCTTTTGAACATAAATTCAAATATATGTTAGCAGTATGTGTTTAAATTCATTTAGAAAATTATATACACGTGATTTTAGGGAAAAACAGCATCGAGTAACATTAAAATAAACATAATTAGAGTGTGTATCATGTGTGAAATTGACTCTACCGTAGCAAAACGAGTGCATATGATAGAAACACCGAAGAGACCAAGGGACTTTTGTTTCCTATGTTATGGATGTCTTTCTAGTTATGGTAAAAATATTTGTTCCGTTGACAAGACTGAAAATCTTCCTTCAATTCCAATTTTGATTTTGATTCTCTCACTCAGCCAAATGGAACATTGGCACTTCACTTGTGCAACCTGATTGGACCAAACGACTCAGTAACGTACCCCTCATCATTCATCAATCTAATCCCATCTTATATTATTATTTTTTTTTGTTTTTCTGAACTAGCCCTTTCCTCTTATTTTAGTTGTAGAATCGCATGTAGCATTCACTGGCCAAAGAAAGCACAGTTTGGTACGATTCTTTTCTAGTTCAGCAAATGAGCAGAAACAATAGCGAAATGTCTTATTTTGAGCACAGGTGATTTCCAACAGTGCAGGAACTTTTGTCTCTTTTAAGATGCCATTTTTTTTCCGTTCTATTTGGATGAGAACAATACAGAGAATAAAGGTTGCATATGACAATCATATTTATGTTTCTTTATTGTGTGAAAATGATGAATTCATTCGTAGGAGGATAAATCACAATAATCCAATCTGTTGGGTAGTTTGAATTCTGGTAAAGCAAAACAATGAACTAACTAAACTTCGATTAAGTAACTGTTATTCCACCTATCTTATGATGCTCTTAAATAATTAACTGTATACTTAAATATCTTAATATATGGTTCTTTTAATGTATATTTAAGAATATATAATAAGAATTTATATATAATAGTTTTATTTAAAAATTATAAAATATTTAAATAATGATGATAATAGTCATGAGGTGTATGAATACCTAGTGATGGTCGACTTTAGATGTAGACAATTGAGGGCTCCACTTCTGTAGGAATATTAATAAAAAATATAAAATGTGTATACATCTTTAAAAAGTTAATATTATTACTATTGCCTAATCATGAGAATTGAGCTTTTTATAAATCGATGTTACACAAAAGTTAATTGTGATTAATTACGGTTTGATTGGTCCTATCAAACTAATGAAAGAGGCTGAGAATGGAATTGTAACATAAGTTCAGCTCTGGGATTACCAATCTGCGAAGCTAGAGTCTAAAAAACTAGATTCTTAGTCACCATCATCTTTGAAAGTTGACATGAATGGGAAAAGCACTATTACTATTTACTACTATACATTTCTTTTGATCGAATAAACTTGATGCATGTGGTTTTGTGTCAAAGAAACTTGAGGCATTGATGAAGACAGTGATAAACTTTTTATGAAAAGGATCACGAAAAGCACATAACTCATCAAGTTTAGAATAATCCGATCACTAGCCTAGATAGGTTTTAAAGTATGCTACTAGTTAGTTTAGCATGGCAAAATTGTTGCACATGCAACCCTCTAAAGTTTAAACGCTTAACATGGAAGGCAACGTTGTTCTCTCTCTCTCTCTTCATTGATTTTTCAAAGCTATTTATAAAATTAAACACTAAAAAGTTCACTTATTGAACTACTATGTATAATAATTATTATTGTATGTTTGTTTAAGTTTTTTTTTAGATTCTTTTTAACTATAAAAAAGTAATTTGAACATGTCTCATTATTAGTCCATATTTATAGAGAGAGTGGATTAGAGATCATGATCTCTAATTTGTTTTTTCTTTTGAAAAAACCATCAATGGTATTTATGAAAATTACTCATAATGTGCATAATTTTTTAAATAAATTAATTACATCGTATCTATAAATAATAGCTAGATTCTTACGTGCGGCCACAATTATTTGATAGACCCGGTTTGGTTTAAACGTTAATTAAGTTTATTTTTAAAGAAGTGATCTGAAATAATTTATGAGAAAATAATTGATATTAAAAAAGTGTATTTTAAAAAATATTATAAAATATTTTTTGAAAACATATTTTTAAAAATAATTGTAATTTGTAAATATAGGATTACTGTTGGGTTAATATATTCTAAATTTAAAATTAATATGTATTGTAATTTCAAAAATCAATTTAAAATTGAATTAGCAAAAACTTGTTCTATAACACTCATTTCTTGAAAAATAATTTAAATCAAACGCGTGTTAATTAGCGATCTCAATCATTAGAATGTATTGTTTAGTTGTGATTTATAAATTATAAATTTTGCAAAACAAACTATCATCATCCTAAGATCGACATTACACATTATTGAAATAACAATTAGAAAAGTAAATTTTAATTATCATTTTATATTAGACTTAAGATTATCTTTAGCAGGATTTAATTATGAATTTTATTTTATTTTAATACGTGTGAAAATGATATTTTATGTGTGATGTTATTTTTTAAGTAACTTAGCATTTATTTGAGAGTTTGAAGAAGAAAAAAAAAAGATAAGAAAGAAAAAAGAAACAGGAAAAGGAAAAATTAAAAATTTCAAAATTCATAGAAACTTAAGAATATAAGTTTATAGAGAATTTTAAAAGATTATATAATTTTTTTATATTTATAAATTTTGAAACAAGAACTAACATTAAATTTTTGTTTCTCTTCTTAAATTTGATTTTTAAATAAAACTTTAAAAAATATACTTAATTTGTTTATTATATTTTATTATACTTCCAACATAATCATGCTATCACAATTAAAAGTGTTCTGAAACAAAGTTTGTAGAATCATAAAGTTTATCCATGTCATTCAACTTGCATAAGAAGTTGTTCTACTATAAATCATAAAATAATTGATATGTGAGAGTAACTAATTACAGAATTTTTAAATTGACAAGTGAGAAAAACGATTAAACAACAAGCTTCTTTATGTTTTATAAAATAGTGCGGATAATTTCAATCATTAAGCAAATGTTTAGTTATATTTTGAGCCTGTTAGTATGAAATTAAATATGATTTATAATCATTAAACATGATTAAAAATGTATTAAAATAATTTTTAACTACAAAATTTATTAAAATATGTATTTTACTCTTAAAAAATATGAAAATTAATCTTCTAATTGTAAACTAAACAATCATTTTAACTTAATGTACATACAGCCAGACATTTTAAGGTTATTAGAATCATTATTTTAAAAATCAAATTAAATAGATTGATTGAACTAAGAAATGATTAACTCACTTATGCAAACAATTGAATAAATTGAAAAAAAAGGTTAAGAAACAGTTAAATCAATCATAAAGTAATAAAAAAATGGTTATAATCGGGTAAGAACCAACCCAAAAAATCAATTTGAAGTCATATTAAAAAGAAAATATGTTTTTTATTTTTTGAAAAAAATTATAAAATAATTTAAAAATGCATAAATATTCATATATCAAATTATTAATTAATTATTAATTAATTATTAATTAATTATTATTATTATTATTTAACTATTTATCTTGAAGTTTATATCTAACAGGGAATGTAATATAATTCTTTTATGTTATTTAATTATTTACTTAATTTAATTTAAAAAAAATACTATATAATATTGTGTGTGTAGTTATTACCGAGTCAATTATAATGAATTGTGAATCAAAGTCTTTATCAATACAATAATCAATTCAGTTTGATAAATTTACTTGAGACTTTCGATATAAAGAAAGAAAACAAAGGAAAAATATAGATAAATATAATTTTTTATTTGATTAAAGAAAAAAAAAACTTGACATTCAAAAACAAAATATTAGAGTATATTTGATTTTTTTAAAATAGTTTTTTATTTTTTAAAATAAAAACTAATATAAAATTATATTAAAATTTATTTTACAAAAAATTGATTTTAAAATAAAAATAAAACATGTTCTAATTTTTTTAATTGAAACTTCTTTGTTATTTCTCTTATTGTGTTTCCACAAAGAGAAATAAAGAATTAGTTTTTTTCAAAAAGAAGATTTATATATGTATATATTTTTTATTCTCATTATCTTGTAAAATTATATATTATATATAAACTATTATCATAAATAATTTTTAATAAAAATATAATTAGAATGCATTTAAATATTTATAAATAACATATCTTAAGACCAGTTAAAATACTTAAAAGTAACATAATATTTTGACCAATAAGCTTTGTCAACTTTTGTAACAAACACTTCTGAAGTAATCATTATTTCTGTGACAGTCATCACACACCGTAACAACACAACATGGGCTGTACTTATTTTTAAAACCGCGTGTCAGCATTTTACACAATTTTTTTTTTCTCAGAAATAACAAATCAAACATAGTTGCTATTTTGTAAACCAAATTATAATACACAAATTGACTAAACTTTTGAAATCTTAAAAAACAGTGATTCAATGGTAGCCTATATAGCTTAAATGGTACATAATATTATATTACAAATAGATTATAAATTATGTATATTTTTTTATTAGCTAAATAAAAAATAAAAAATAAAAAATAAAAAATTGACAAAAATTAAAGAAATGCATTGTATTTATCATTTTTGGTGCATATTCATACAAAATAATTTCCTATTATACTACATTTCTCATCATAAAAATAAAAAGTGAAAAATCTCCCCTGCTATGACCTTTCTTAATTTAAAACATTTACTTAAAATTAAAGTTAGTCTTAAAAAGAAAAGTTCAAAATATTGAGCCTCAACAATTTCTAAGTTTATTGAGCAGAAGTTGTCTTCATTCAAAAGGGTAATGGACTGATTATAGCAACTCTGAAAATATTGCTACTTTCTTATTATGGATTTTCATTTCATTTTTTTTAAACATAATTTTGAATCTCCAATTATTTAAGATAATTCTATTTTTATCTCTTGCATTAATTTATTTATAATTTTGGCCGTTAAAATTTTAATTATTTATATTATTTTTTTATAAATTTTAATTTTTGAATTTATTTAATAATCAATAAATATATAATAAAAACTGATACAACATTTAATTTTATATTTTTCTTTATTTTTGTTTAAATAATTACATATCTAGTAATTATCAATTTATCTTGTTTATTTCTATTATGGATAAACTAAAGATAAAATATTTAATTTTAACAAATTGAAAAAAATTAAAAATAAATAACAGTAATTATAAAAATAAAAAATATATAAAATAAAGTATAAAAAGTTTAAAAGTGAAATTAAAATGTACTTAAACAAGTAACACAGCACAAGGGAAGGTTCTAAATTCAAACCAATGGGTGATCTCCTGAGCAAATCCCAGCCATCAATATCACTACAAAACACATCAAACCCAACGGCAATATGCCACATAGTTCATATCACAAACGTTAGAGATCTCACCCTTGGATCGACCTAGGCCAGACAGACACGTAGGCCCCAAATGTTCTGTCCTCTCCATCTCTTTGTTCTCCTAAAAACATTTTCTGTCAAATTTAACTCCGTCAACCCCACCCCCTGCATATAAATACCACAACCTCCTTCTTCCTCTCAATTTCTCGCCTCAGACTATCAAAATATCGTCCCACTTGATTTCTCGCCGCCTCTCATTTTTGTAAGTTCCTCTGATTCTGAAACAGAGTTCCTTCGCGTTTTGCAACAGAGCATTTCAATCTTTTTGCCATTTACATAACACATTACATTTTCTTCATTCTAACTAATTTTTTTTCTTTTTTTTTATAAGTTTATTGCATTGGCATAAAACATGACAATTAAGTCTCATATCCCAAGCAATTTGCCATGTGGAGTGATTTCATAGCAATTTGAAAAATGACAGTAGTTTCAAAGCACCCCACATAGCAAGCTCGAATTTTTTGGTTGTGGGGTGTGTTTGAAAGTGAAATATAAACGTGTGGTTGCGTTGCAGAGACAAAGAAAAAGAAAGAGGAACAAAACCTGAAGTGCAGCAGAAGATTAGTGGAAGATTCGTTTGTGTGTGTTTGCTGGGTAAGTCGTTTTCGAATAGTAATAGTGATAAACAGTACTTTTCAGTAAAAGCAAAGTAGAATTGAGATATGAGAATTCTCTTCTTCTCCTTCTTCTTCTCCGTGTTCTTCTTCTTCTTCTCCACCACATTCTCTTTCCTCTGTCCCTTTGCCTCCCTCTTACACACCTTTCATCCTCCGACAAACGTTGATTCCTCATTCACCCCAACTTGCTTTTTTTATTTTTTAATGTGATAATAACATTGTTTTTGTTTGTATTATATTTATTTATTTGTAATAATAATAATTAGTAGTAATAATAATAGCATTGGCTTGAGTGTGTTTGTTTCTCTCTCCAAGCTCAGTGACTCAGTGCTTATCTTGGAGAGCGGGGATTGATTGATTGTGATCAGATTTACACAAAAGATAGAGAGAGAGTGGAGTGTCAGAAAACTTGGGGTGGAACACGCTTTGCTTCTTTTATTTTCGATTTTTGCACGATAAAGTACCAACCCCACGTCCATTGTAGTAAGTAAGCATTGCATTGTTGGAAGAAGAATGAATGGCTTTGAGTTTTTGCATTTTGTTTCTTTCTCTGCTTTGAATTATTCCTTCTTTTGGGTGTTTGGTTTTGGATGGGTAGCTTTTGCTCATGCTCTGATCCCGAGCCTCGTTGGAGATTGCTTTTCCTTTTTTATTTTTTCAGCTTAGGACCATTCTGTTCCTTGTCAAGGATATAGCAAATTTTGTAATTGTTTCATTACTTGCATTCTAACTTGGTTTCTTCATTCGGTTCTTCTTTATTTCTCTGCCTTCTGCACTGTTTTATTCAGTGAAAGTGATTCCCTCCACACTTTACTCTTGAATCATTTTCATATATATTTTTGTTTGTGTCCTTTTATCCATTAAAAACCAATGACATGCATATATTAATGTTTGATATGATTGTTGCACTCTTTATTTCATTTCATTCAGTGGAATTGAAGTATAAATGTTTATGGTTGTTGTTATTGTGCAGGAATAATAATAAAAATAGAAAAGGTGAAGAGTAATAATAAAGATGTTTACATGCATAGCTTGTACGAAGCAAACGGCGGAAGAGAGGGAAGAAGAGGGTGGCACGCCGAGTACAAAAGAAGCCGTCAAAAGTCTGACTGCACAGGTTCTTAGTCTCTTCACACCTACACACTTTGCTTTTTCATCTTCCTCCTTACATACAAACAAATATTATTATTATTATATTTTAATACAAAATCTCAATATTCTGCCTAGTGGGGACCACCCATTTCAATCTTTTACTTCCACCTATACTATAACTTTATACTCTCTACATACGTACCCATGCACATTCATTAATATTTTTGGGTTTGTTTAATTTATTTTATAAAGTAAATTACTTAATTGCATTAATGAAATTGTGTTTATAAAAAAAAAATGAATCATTAATGTCTTAGTTGTATTAATTCATTTAAGATAAAATTACTTACCTTGTATGATATACTTTTCACCTATTATTAGTTGTCTTTTAATATAAATGTACAAATTTTAAAAATAATTAATTTTTATCAATTATTATGGTAAAAAATTAATTTATTAAATACTCTTATTAAATGTATTGAAGTTATTATAATAATATATTTTTTAATCAGTGCAATATTGTACAAAAAAGTTACATATAGCAATTTTTTATTAAAAATTATAGCATTTAATACATTACATGCATTAATTCATTAAATACTATAATATTTAATAATAACTTTATCTGTAAAATGTTACACAGGTTAAAAAAAATTATTATAATAGTTAAATGATGATTAATTTTAAAGTTATTTTAATTATTAGTTGGCAAAAACTATCTTTAATTAACAAGAGTATTTAAAAATAATAATAAATCTTTAACTTTTAAAATGATAGATAATTTAAACAAATATAAAGTGCTTAATTAATAAGAGGAAGAAAATAATTTTAGACAAATTCAATATTTTAATATGAAACGGGATATTCTAGCTGTGGAGGAGGGGATTGTTTTGATTTAGGATGACGTAACGGTGTTGTTTTGTTTTGGGCACTTTTGCTGTTGAAGAATGGTCCATGGTTTGGTCCATTAATTGGTTTTAATAATATGCATGTGGTGGTGCCTAGGTGCTGACCTGACATGACCATATATCATCATCAACCAATCAAGTGCCTTATTCTCTCTAGAGTTCCAAACTATGGGACCAACTTGTCAAGTAGGTTTCCAGTACCCTTTTTGGCCACTTATAATTGCACATGAGAGAACCAAGCTGGTTTCATTTTGATTCAATTACAATATATTTACAACAGTGACAACATTCAAATATATTCAATATGGCTAGAGAGGTAGAATTTTAGTAAAATCCAACATGTCATGTTTTGATTAACGTTTGACTGGTATACACTAAAATTAATACTTTTGAGATGATTCACTCATGGTTGACCTTAATACTCTCTTTTTATTTATTTGGGAAGAAAAAGCAATTGTGATGAGAAGAGGAGCAGTGGCATTGTGGTAACATGTTCCACATTGCACGGTTTAAGTAATGTTTGGGAAAGATTCCCATTGCACGGAAGGGAATACCATATTCGTATCTTAGTGTGGCCCATCCTTGAATTCTTGTCGTCTCACTGTTTTTCAAAAGTTTCCATAATATGCAGATGCAAAACATAAGATAAATATTTATTGTGAGAGCAAAATATATTTAGGGTTTTCTTTGTCAGAAAAATATTTATTAATGACTATTTAATTTTTAGAGAATATTAAAGTTAATTTTTTTAAAAATTGAGGTATTCAAAAGTATCATAAATAGTTTCTTTCCTAAAAAAATTTATTACTTTTGAATGCTTAAATTTAATTTTAATAGCATCTATTAATAGAATTATTATATTTTTTTTTGTGTACTCAAGACTGTTCAATAGTAAGTTATTATTAAAATTGGTAACATTTAATGTTATCAATGTATTGATATGCTGTAATTTATAATAAAATTTATTATATACAGACTCTTATTGTGTGTTATTGAGTTTAGAAAAATTTTACACCATTAGGCATGAATGAGTCATGCAAAATGTTTTTGACATGTATTAGTAACTATTTATTCTTACATCCTTAGCCATGAATCAGCCTCTCATTTTTTACCAGTTATAGTTGCTTAATAGTTTCTCTTCCTTTATCCTTATCAATCATTTATACATGCAAGATTTTAAGCTAAGGGGAACTTTGTTTGAATTATCAGATTAGGGACTTGTATGTGAAGCAATTCTGATGCCCATCCAAACTATTTTGAACCAAATGTTTCTGATTTGTGTGAAAATGATGACAAGTAATATTTGGATAGATATTATTGGAGATTTCTACATACAGGAAATGCTTTCCATTGGGGGTACATGGTTGATAGTAGGATATATATAAGGTTCCTATAATGGACTTTCATGTTCACTGACGTTGTTGCCATCCACTTGTATTCTCTACCCAAGTACATTCTCCACCTAGCCCAGCTGTAAAGGCATTGCACCATGTTTCGAAAATGACATAAGCTGAAACCTTAGACTGCATCTAGTTTCATCCAAACATTTTTTTTAATTCATTTATGTCTCAGAATTTCCAAACTTGATTTCCCTACTCTTTCCTTGCGTGCCATTCAACAAACACTTTTGCTTTGTTGCTCTATAGAAATCCAAGTAGATGTTTCTGAACTATTTAGCTTATTTTAGTTTTATTTTGGGTGAAAGTTTACTTTTTGACTGAGCGTAGTCACATCTTATTATCCACTGAACTAACCTCACATAATGGGATAGGACTTTATTGTTGTAGTTTTAATTTTTTTGCTGGGGGGGAGGGGGAAGTGTGCAATATTAATCAACTAAATGGCTTTTAAGAATGGGGAATTTTTCTTGCAGTATTTGTTTTTTCTTCTTCTGGCAAGTTCAGATTTGGTAATTCATCTGTAACTTTTTGTCCATGAAATGAACGAGACAATTATATTGAATTTTTAAAGGAAAGGAATATTTGTAGGGTAATCTACATTGTTAGCAGTAGAGGAAAGTACAGCACTCAGGTATTTTGAAAGCTTTAACACATTCTTAAGATATAGAAAAATATTTTTAGATTCTCATCTTAGGTGTCAATGGTCAGAATCCTAGATGCAGAATGTGTGTGTAACTGTTCAAGAATCCCGATTTTCCAAAAGTGTGAGATATTCTGTTAAAGTTGTATGATCTGTAAAAGTAGGTTTATATGAAGGTGTGGTGTTGACCAAGTACATGTAAGTATTATTCAACTTTTGAAGATAAAAATAAGATACAGTTATATTCGCCTTGAAATAATTCCAATGCACTTTTATATAACAGTATTCTGATAACACACATATCATGTCTAAATTTATCTTTTGGTGGCGATTTATGATAAAACAGTTAATAATCTATCTTAAAATAAGTGTTCAATTGAAAGTAACTTCTTTCACCACTTCAAAATCGTCCATTTGCAGCTAGACAGATAGATGAAAAAACTTTTATTATTGTTATTTTTTCTTATAAAAAAGACTTATTTGCTTACCAAATGTTATCTGTCATTAATTGTTATATGTTTTGGTTGCTCATTAAAATAGGTATCTATGGTCCATAATTAAAACTTCTAATGCATTGAAGTTAATTTGATATTTTGCTTTTCTGCATATACAGATAAAGGATATGGCACTGAAGTTTTCAGGAGCTTACAAGCAGTGTAAACCCTGCACAGGGTCCAGTACCTACAAGAAAGGACAGAGACCATTTCCTGACTTTGACACCATCTCAGAAGGGGTTCCATACCCCTATATTGGAGGTGCAAGCTCAACTTCAACCCCTGCTTGGGACTTCACAAGCTCCAATTTACCTGGTGGTAGATCAGACCAAAGATTTATAGGTAGTTTTGGTGATGATAGGACTCCAAGAGGGGGTGAGTCAGCATCAGCCACTGATGTAGTTTTGGAAGATGAGGATGAAGCCAAGGAGTGGATGGCACAGGTGGAGCCAGGGGTTCACATTACCTTTGTGTCTCTTCCCAATGGAGGAAATGATCTCAAAAGAATTCGCTTTAGGTATGTTATGATAAGCCTTGACTTCTCAAAACTCTAACCTGAAAAAAATATGAGGTTTTACTAATGATAGATCTTTAATTCTTTATTCTGACCACTAAAATAATAAAACTATTTAAACTAAGTTGGTTATATTAATTGTTGGCTTTACTATGCCTGGTTAGCACTGCACTTGTTGGCCCTTGATTGTATTTGAAAAGTGAGGCTCCATAAAGGGAGCCATAGGATTTAGTTGCAAGTTGCAACATGTCCGAACTCATAAGAATATGTACCTTGGAGGCCTTAATGTTACAAAAAATATATGAGAATTTAGTTGTTGAAAAAGTTAATTATCCTGTAGGAGCAAAGACTGACAATACTTAGCATTTAAATTTGAAGCCGAGAGATGTTTGACAAGTGGCAAGCTCAAAAATGGTGGGGTGAGAATTATGACCGAATCATGGAGCTTTACAATGTCCAGAGATTCAATCGACAAGCTCTTAACACTCCTTCAAGGTCTGAGGATGAGGTAAACTACACCTCCTGCCTCCATATGATGTTAGCACTCCATTATTATCATAAGTAAATGACATAAATGAAAGTTCTTTTTAATTTCTATGTACACTATTGCCTTTAAACAGCAAAGAGATTCTTCATACTCAAGACTGACATCTGCAAGAGAAAGCCCCATGGCCTCATCATTAAACAAGGATGGGACAAGGAATCACTATAAACCCTCGGGGAATAAAGGGTTTTTTCCTTCTGAAGCTATGGATCAAGGCAGTGGCCAAAACTTGCATGCAGGGTCATCCATAGAAGCATCAAGGACAACCACCTCTTCTAGAGATGAGGCTTCAGTAAGCAATGCTAGTGACATAGAGACAGAATGGATAGAGCAAGATGAGCCTGGAGTGTACATTACTATCAGGCAATTAGCTGATGGAACAAGGGAGCTTCGCCGCGTCAGATTCAGGTAATATAATAATGCATGTCAAAAACATGTTCTTCATTGCTTTAATGAGATCCTCTGAAAATGTACTTAGGTGAAATAATGCAATGGTCCTAGATTGCATGTAACATGTTGGCATGTTCTAGATTCCACTAAAATTGAGGTTTGCTTGGTTCAAGAAAATGTGTTGTATTTTTTTTAATTATAAAATGCCATTTTATTTTTGTTTTGTTTTTCATTTTTGAAAATGGTCTTGTTAGCTGATATTTGTTCATGGATCAAAAGTGAATTTTCTTCTCTTAAAAATCACATTTAATTGCATTGAAAATCATGAGAAATTTTTTTTATTAGCTATATTTTCTGATAAAAATTTTTTACTTCTGATTCCTTAACTAGTATCCTTAAAGCGCTTGTTAGCATTTATCTTTCAAAAATTTATATAGAAATCAATTGTTTAAAAATATGAAATAAATAAAAACAAGATGACATTTTTTTAATTATAAGAAATAGAAGATAAAACAAAGCATTTTCAAATCAAAACGCTCTTAAAATTTTCATCTAGGGAGTTAGGAAAACTTTTTATTGAGAACATTAGTAGGTTTTTATTTTGACAGTTTCTCATTTCAACTGTGTTTGCAGCCGGGAAAGATTTGGGGAGGGACATGCAAAGAAATGGTGGGAAGATAACAGAGAAAGAATACAAGCTCAATATCTTTGAAGTCATGTTGCCATGAAAAAAAGTGGATGTCCTAAGCTGGTGGAATCCTCAATTTTGTTTCCTAGAGATTGTAATGTTGATGACTCCAGTTTAGAGACAGGAGTTTCTATACAGAAAACTACACTTCCCACCATTGGTGATGATCTCATCTCATGGCATTAATTAAATTGTTGACACTCACAAATACAATCCTTGAATTTGTTTTTGTGTAGTGACTTCATTTAAGCCTCAAGGGTCAATTGCCATGGTATTGGGAGGTTTAATCTTGCATATTATATATGTGTATTTTTTCACCCTCTTCTCTTATCTTTATATATATATATTTTTTATCTTCACCGGGGATATTTGTGGTCATAGTTGCTGTTAATCAATCAATCATTCGCTAATTTTGATTACTTGAGACCAATTGACTCTTTGTCGTTGTTTGAATTATCAAAGTAAGCAAGTGAAAAGAATTAGTTAATGCTTATGTGGAGGTTACAATACAATATACTAAGAAGAGGATACGTATATTTTTATAAATTATAAGCATTGCTCTTTGATGGAAGCACGAAAATACAAATTTTCACATGAACACGATTGCTTGAAATGTAGGCATGCATTACTCTTTCAGTACCCGAATCTTTTTTTTATTGACGGAGGTAGCAAAAGGAGAATTAGGATCTTTTACTAAAAATTGTTAATATAATTGTTAAGGAGAACAAAATGTAAAAGTCTCTACTGAAGAAAAGGAATTATAAATCATTGCATATTCTTTAATTAAGTAAAAATTATATAAAAGAAATAACTAAATAATTTTTTACTGAAGAAACATCATGACATCACCATGATTATTACAAATAATAGAAAATTAAAATAGTGATTTTAATATCTTCAAGACAAATTTCATTATATATTTATATAATCTGATAATTTTAAAATTTGTGGTATCATATACGTGTGGAATAGTATATCCGTCTTTTCTGAATTAAAACTTAGTTATTGTTAACCCTTCCTTTAAATATGCCCAGTCCCAGTTTTTATACAGACCGAAATCCCATTTAAATATATAATAGTGGCCCTGTGATTTGAACACCAATAAAATTTGATGCAATTAAAAAATAATAATTAAAGGACGTCTTGAATATTTGTCAGTGTTATTTCTCAATTAGAATTATGACTCTACCTTAATAAATAGGTTGACATTTAAAATTGTTACAAATTATTAAAAAAATGTAATTCTGATAAAAATAATAATAAAAATATATAAATAACGACGGTTAAATTTTGTATATAACCAAATCACGTAAATGTGTTAACTGAAAGTCAACTGAATTTTTTATTAAAATAAAGAAAACATACTTTAAAAATCTATCTACTTCTAAAGAAAATAATCTCTATCAACAAAAAATATCCTTTATACACACTATAATTGCTAATATTGCAAACGAGAAAAAAGAGGGCTTGAATTGCAAAAGACGGGTTTGAATTTTCCTTTTTAGAATTGGAAAAGACAGCAACAAAATTGAAAGAAGCTCAATCTTGTGAGCTAAAACAAAAGAGTCGACAGACGTAGGACTTCATGTAGGTTAGCAGCCATGTGAGCCAAGTGATCAGTCACAGCATTTGCTTTACGATCAACGAAGGTAATATCCAAATGCACGGTTTGTGAAGAAAGTCGAAGACATCGGGCACCAGATCGGCAAGTTAGGGACCACGCTAGAATTCAGGACCTCAACAATCGGTCTAGAATCGCTGTCATTCGCACGGTGGACCTCAACCATTGTAAATAACGTCTCTCGCCACAGTACAGCCACCAGACAATTCAGTTATTGTCCATAGTACAACTTCCAGCCCAACTCAGTTATTGTCCTCAACACTTCCATTTACATTTAATTTTATAATTCCATTATCCTTTGAATCACGAGAAGAGACTGCTTGTCCATTTCTTTACATAGGAACAACACACTCATCGTGCATAAGATAAATTAGTGCACTCCATTTCTCATCACCAAAGGTTTGATTGTTTCGCCAACACCACTGCCACCGCAAAGCAAACAGGAAAAGCATACCTCTGATGGATGGATTTGAAGAACTTAGTATTGCAACCAAAATCCGAGTCGCAACCAAATTTCCGTAGAGTAAAGCTAGAAAATAAGGTTTAATGAAAAAAAAGAAGGAAAAACGACTCGTACGAACACAAATCCGCAAATTACGCACATTTGCAGTTTAAATAAAATTGCTAAATTATTGTTACGTCACTAATTAAAAAAAAAAACTAAACGTATTTTATTCAACTTTTATAGTTTTAACAAAATTTTTGTATGAACATAAGACAAGGTTTATGAACACTTCCACCTAATAAATGCATGTGTACTACGTCGGAAATTCCAAGTCATATAAGTAGGGGGAAAAGCTTTTATTAATAATATTGCATTAATAAATTAAAAAACATCAGGATAGCTGTGTATGTCCCGCAATACCAGTACAAAAGTACGAAACGATTCCGAATAAGTAATAACCCACGCCATACTAGTTTTGTAGTTAAGGGTTCGCCGTGGTCATCAAAATACGTCCAAAAAACACACTATTTATATTAGGACAATCACACAACATTGGAGCATTATAGAATCTCCCACATAAACTCATACTCTCATCCGGCAACTTTTCTTGTGAAAGTTCTTCCAGTCGGAATCTGTTGAGCGGGCCTAAGAATGAAGTTTCCAGATTCAGAAATCCAATTGACTCCAGCCTTCATTGGCGCACGGGGTTGCACCATTGCTTGTCTTCGAGTACCAACAGACATGTTGGTAAACTTTTCAGCTGTTTCTGAAACGCCATGTGCAGACATCCCCTTGTTTATCGAAGCTGCCAACAAGAAGAATGACTTTCAATAAACAAAGAGCACAGGCTTTTCTTCAATAAATTTTTACAGCAGAAGGATATCAAGGGACAGAGAGAGGAGTCGCTTCTCATTTAAAATAAAAGAAGAAAAAACATCTCTCAAAGATATAACATATTCAAGAATGGCAATCAGTTTGAGCAATCATGTATAAAATAATACTCAGAAAAAATACTATACTTAAAAGCTTACTTGGGCTGTCCTTTCCTGGCTGTCGATATTTTGGTTTAACCTTCATTGATTTTTCGTTCTTAATTCCATCCTTCAGAAGAAACAGAGAGAAATTGTTGGCACGATGGAGGGATGTGACAAAAAAAAAAAAAAAAAACAGCTAAAGATGGATGGATGGACGTCAAGTAAAAATTAGATTTTGATTTTCTTTGACATCATGGTGTAAAAAGTAAGTATGCGTAGAGCTTGTCATTAAAAGAAGTGGGGCAAATACAAAGAGAATGTAGACAGAACAACTCACTTGATTTACCATATCTAGCTTCCGTTGCGCACCTGTACATTCGTAATTGGATGAGAACGAGTTCTTCGAATTCAAAATATGAGTCAATTATGTTACAAACCAAAACGACCTATTTCTTTGTACATACAATCCAACGTCGAAAGGTTCTTTTATGCTGATCAGAAGTCATTCAAATAAAAAAATGCATAATTTCTAGCTTAAACATTAACGGAGACCAGGGGGCCGGAAGGGGTTGGCACACCTCTTGGCGCCTCTGCTTTAGACGTGGAATGCTTCTATCATCTTATTAAAAGAGTAATATATGTATATATATATATATATGTAACGTAAAAACAAAGCCATCAACTTGCTAACTGTGAAGCAAAACAGGGCAAAAAATAGTCAAAATGTTAAAATAAACTGTCACTAGAATTGGAATTTTTGGCTGCGTAGAGCTTAAGTTTTTGTGATAGAACATCACAATTATTTACTTAATACTACGAGTGACAGGCTTGAGTAGTTAATTTAAATAGAAAGTCAATGCAAAATAGTAAAATATTTACTGTTTGTTTCCTAATGTTAACCATTTTCTCCCTTTTGCTCCACATAAAAAACTCAATTAAGTGCATCCGTTCCTGGAATTAATCAACACATGCAAAACCAAGTTGATCACCTGAAGCTAAAGGATGTAGTTTCATGGAAGAATAGTTATTGGGGAGCTTTGAATTAGATAAGGCACCGGAATATCTCTTAACCCCTTGCTGATCCAGTGCTCCCCTGGCTCCAGCTGAAAAAAAGGGACATTTAAGATCCTCATACAATTGTACAATATGCATGTCCCTTCTAACAAGATAAATAAATAAATAAATATTACACACCAGGTGGAGGAGTTCTCGCTACTGCTCTGGTGCGAAGGGATGGAGGAATGTAAAAGCAACTCTACAACAAATAAAGAAAAGAGTCTGAATAAAAGAAGCTCATAAAGTAAAACATGATAAAGTTTCTTGAAGAAAATAAAGACAACAAAACACAAACTAGTTAAAAGACCACCTGGAAGAAAGGATGCTGAAGGGCCTCTAAAGCTGTTGGCCTCTTGCAGGGATCCCAGGAGCAAAGTGACTGCATCAATGGCAGACAAGAAAACAGGAAAAATGCATTGATCAGTGGTTCACAGGGCTAAGCAGCTAAGCAATATGCCAAAAAAAAAAAAAAAACTCACTCTGATAAGGCTAATTGCATCGTTACTTGCAGACGGGATCAATGCAGAAAGATGTACACCAGCAAGCTGTAGAAAGCAAAAGGCACATAGTGTAAAGTGTTGAGAAGAATAACATTACTGCCTCACATGATCATACTTAGCACATTAATTAGGAAAATTGCAACCCAGAAGCTTACTACATAAATTAGTTAAGACCCAAGTTGTATCTAACCTGTGGAAACTGGTAGTTAATATCCCTTGCAAGTTTGAGTCCTTCAGCCCATGATTCAAAGGTTGGATTGCCTATCACACCACATATTTTGTAGATCTCATCGGCTTCACTATATGTTGCAATGAAGGAACAAGCTCATTTACAACATTCAATTGCTAATCAGGAATGCTTTAGAGCATAATTCCACGATAAAAATAAAAATCAAACCACGTTTTCTTTTGTTAAGAAAAAGTGTGCAAATACCTGACACCTGGAAAAAGAGGACGAAGAGAGAAAAGCTCAGCCATTATAGCACCCATTGCCCACATGTCTAGGGGAAAAAAAAATTAATAGATAAAAATGTTAGAATGCTACTCATCATCATCACCACAACGAACATATAGATGAAAAATATAAATAACACCATTATTAAACATCAGGCACTTACCAACTTTAGAGGTATACAGATAAGACTGAAGCAGCACTTCAGGAGCACGATACCTAAACAGGGGAAAAGCCATCATACATGTTATTGAATACCTAACACAGAAAATGATACATCGATTGCAAGTTGAAAGCAACGTACCATCGTGTGGAGACGTACTCAGTGTAGGGTGGTTGTGAACTGATCTCTCGGGCTAGGCCAAAATCAGCGATTTTGATTATATCCCTGGTAACCATCAAGTTTTCTGCAAATAGCAGCATCCATTGTGTGTAAACAGTAAAAAATTTGCACCAGAGTAATAAAGATATAAACTGTAGACCACACTATCGGTATTTACTTTTTCATCTCAAAATTAATTAGCATTTAGCAAGTTAAACTACAGAATGCCTATTATCACTTTGGCCAGATAAAAATTGAGAATTAGTAATGAGAGAACAATATGCTAATTGCTAACAAAATATACATTGCATACTACTCATAATATATAAATATAAATATATAAATGAAATCATCTAGCAGACTTCAGATGAAATCATGAATAAGTACCAGGCTTCAGGTCACGATGGAAGTATCCACGCTGGTGCATGTAAGCAAGACCTTGGAAAACTTGAAAACACCAATTTCTAACTTCACCCTCAGAAAATAGTTTTTCCCTGTCTTTCATAAGTTGGTATAGGTTGCATTCCTGCATCACCCAAAAATTGACGTAGAAATCAGTGTATTAGATCTTGCATAAGCCAAGTCAGCCACTCTCTACCACAAAGTTTGGTAACCCACCATGTACTCAAAAACAAAGTACAGAATGCCACTTTCTCGAATAACTTCCTTCAGCTTCACAATATTTGGGTGGTTCATTTTGCGTAATGACTGACAAGGGAAATTAGAGAATAATCATATGCAAAATAATAATCCCACAAATGTACGACAAATAAGGCCTCAGAAAGATGTTAAACCTTGACTTCTCTCAGGTTTACACACTCCTCCCAAGAGTAATATTTCTTCTTCATTTTCTTGATCGCAACCTGTGATTTAATGACTTATTAGCACAACATCCGACTTCAAATAGAATACATTCAACATGACAGTTAAAACATACTTACAACTTCACCAGTTTGCTTATTAATAGCTCTCCAGACACTCCCAAAAGTTCCATCACCAACTTCCTTAATTAACTTGTACCTGTATTAACAGGGGAAAAATATTAAAAATTTTAACAGAAAATAAAGGGGAAATAATAATTCTGCAAAAAGAGAAAATAAAAAATCACCTCTCCATTGTTCCCGTGGAACACAAAGCAGCACTTTCTTTATTCAACAAATGTAAACAAAAACACAAAAGATAAATGGCATTTATCTCGTGTAGATGCTCAGAGGTATATAAAATATTAATAGGTTCCTAATGGTTCAGTAAAATCCACCATCAATTTTCTGTCATAGCAAAAGAGGGCATAGAAGCAGAAACTTTCTGATGGAAGGGCTGCACAGCCTTATTCTTTAATACACTCACGACTTTGTAATGGTTGCAGGACAAGTGTGGTACAAATGAACAAGAACCAGAGATCATACTGACACTTCTTAAGTCCTACCAAAATGACTGATCAACGCAACAGCATAACTCCAGCTAAAATCACAGTGACCCAAGACTCCAGAACTGTAATAAGGTCTACTTCATCTAATCTATGTAGGATTTGTTTCAGAAACTTCAGCTAATTGATGTAGTGTCGGCAACAATACCCCTCAAGAGCAAGAGCAACAAGGAGACGATTGCAACAACTACAGTCCGCACTGATTCAATGCAAATGCTTCACTCAAAGATGCAGGCAGAATCCAATATTCAGTCACCAGTCTATATGTTCATCCCTGCAGAAGCAAACACAGGCTTAGTTTAATTTTTGCAAATTGAACAGATGATGTCAGAAGTTCTCCATGATAGAAATCTTACCCAAGAGGAGGATTTACCAGTTTTAACTGAATTTTGGGTTTGCAATGCACTGTCAAATGAACACTCATCAGTAAACTACTTTTTGGATTGGCGTTTTGCAAACAAGGATAAGACTAAGCGCTTACTTGTACAAGTGCACTAAAGATGCAGCACCTGTATCAGAAGAAACTAGCATCACGTACCCTGTGCTGATCATTAAAGGGAAGCAGAACACTAAGTGCTATTGACAAAGGAAACCAGAAGAAAATCTCCAAGGATGAAAAATCGCCAATCAAGCACTTCTTGGAATGCGAAAAACCGATACTGGTAGCAATTTGTCCAGAAACAAACTCCCTCCATGTCTCAAAATAGAAATCACGATCTTTAAGATTCAAACCCAGACCAACCTGTAATTAAAAAACATGAACAAAGCTCAGGGGTTAGATTGAAACTCGCAACATCTATATTTTTAATTTCTCTCCCACATACGAGCAATAAAATAAAAATCTCAACAACTGGAATAACATGAAATCAGCAGCCTGTAGCTTCAGATGCTATTGAAATAAAAATAAATTAATTCTTTGTCTGGACATTAGGTTAATTTGATTTCAATTACACTTACATCTAACAGTTAAAACTCGAAAGTTCTTTCCTGCCCAAAGTTTGGAAGTTTTCCAGCAATAAAGAAAACAAATTATTGGTCTAAGAAAATTGCGCATCAACTAGAAACTAAACTCTAGAAATGAAATTCCTCCACGCAAAATAGCCTACAAGCAGCTCTAAGAATTGAATAAAGTCATCAGATAAAAGTTCAGATTCCACAAACACAAGCATTAATACACTAGACACTAAACTCCAATATTGAATTTCCTGCACAATAAATAGCATTCAATCAGCTCCAGGAATTGACTAAGACAATCATCATATAAAATTTCAAAACTCCACTAGCAGAAGCATCAATACTGCTGAAAACAAAAAAGGAATCAACACCGAGGCCGAATATACACACCAGCAGACGAAATATAGCATATACAAGTAGCGATTACGACAAATACAAAACTCCAGAAGCTACAATTTAATTAATCAACTACGATCATCACAACAGAATCCTATCACCAAGCCCTAAATAACACATACCTAACAACAAACCCTTATAATCAATCACGAAAACCAAATTCAACCAACACAGGACCCTAACATCCAAAATTAAATAAACAAATCCAACACCTCGGTTGTCAAGCGTCAAAAACCTAAAAAAACCATCGAAATCCTAAACCAAAAACAACCACGAAATTAAAGCACAATCGATTGCCAAAACAAATCGGAAGAATCCAAAGAAAACCGGATCGGATCTGAAACGCTGAGAGAAACAAAAGGCGCAACGTAGAGAGAGAATAGGGGAGAGAGAGACCTGACGAGCAAGCAGCATAACCACCGTCTCGAAGGACGGGAAGAGGTGGAATCCAGAGTTTCTTCCTATACGATACCGTCTTTTCTCTCTCTCTCTCTCTCTCTTTCTTCGCTTCGCTTCGTGCCAACCAAGAAATATAGCAACAAGAAATTGTGAGTCGCTCACACCTAATTTATGCGTTCCCTTTGGGCCTTAGTCACCGCCTTGTCTCTTTTCTTGTCTCTCACTCCCAACTCTATTTCGTCAACTTCTCCTATTTATAATTTCCCTCATCCGTGTGCCCTCAGCCTCGTCATTCCTCTTCTTCCCTCTATTCGCTCCACGTCACCTTCTGTTTTTTTTTTTTAAATTCATTATCATAATTAACCATTCTTTTTATTTCAATTTTCAAAATCGGCGGAACAACTAGATTATGCAATTATTATTATTCTTTTTATTGCCATGCATATATGGAGACACACTGATCAATTTAGGATTGAATTCTAAATTTAAAATAGAGATACGGTGTACAGATTTTCAATTCAAAATTTTATATTTATCTGACTTTAGATGAACTTTTAAAAAACCAAAAATTGAACTTGGTGCTATGAAGTCCGCTCATGATAATACAATATATATGCATAATTTATGGTTTTCAATATTTAAGTTTGAGAAAGATTGGGAGTTGGACTAAATAGATAATATATTGGCGAGTTTTTCATATTTTAAATTTTAAATAAAAATATTTTAAAAAATTAGAACTTTAAATTAATAATAAAACATATTTTATTATATTAAATCAGATTAACTAAAGAGATAAAATTTTAAAATTAAAGAATTAATTATGATAATAAATTATTAAATCTGTACCTGAAAAGAAAGAAATCTTAACTTTAGTAAGATGTATCAACATTTAAAATTTAAATTAATTTTTATTTTAATATATTATTAATATAAGAATTATACAGTCAACTACTTGAAATATATTATAGATATAACTTTTTATATTAATTATTATAAAAAATAAGTTTTTTATTAATATATAACTTATAATTGAATAATAGTGCAAGAAATTATACTATGTGTATATTTAAATTAAATTTTAAAATGAAAATTCATGATTTGATAATAAAAATATTTCCAAAGTCAATGTTAATTAAAATTTATAAAATAAAATTAAAAAATATATAATAATTATTTGACATAATTATTTTAAAGATTTTATTAACTTCAGTCTTTAAAATTAAAAATAAACACTTAATAATAAAAAAAATATTTTTTATATTTTATAACTTTAATATAGTAATTATATATTTTTTATAAAAAAAATTTATTTATAAATATTTAAACTTAGTCCTAAAAATTGTAGTTAATAAAACTCTTATTTTATTTAATAACATTGGTCGGCTTCAAAAAATATATTTTCAAGTGGGTGAAGCACGAGGTACATTTAGCAATACGGCGTTTATCAAATATTGCTTTCGAGGGAGACAACACGATTACATGATGACAAGTTAGGTCTTGGTGGAATGTCTAACGAAAATTAGTAAAAGCTATTGTCATGTTTTGCCATTCATATGTAAATGTTAATTATGGCTTTTAATTTTGAATGTATCAAATGATCACTGTAATCAAGTTCCAGTGGCATCTAATCATGACATGGGTTTTGTGAAAATATTTACGTCACATATAATTTATCTGCAATTTTTTTTTTATAATTATGTATAAAAGGTTTCCATATGATGTGATACACGAACTTAAAAATAAATTTAGCAATAAAAAAGTTGTGGCGTTTACATAAACACTAAAGATATTATTTATTATAATTTATTTTAATAATTTATTTCAATACTTACTAGTAATGTTAAAGTCATTGATAAGTAACATTTGTTAAAAAAAAATTAATAAAGTTTGAATGAATTTTTAAAATTAGTATCATAAATTATTAGTTTAAATGATAAGTAATTTGATATTATTTTAAAAAAATTATATATGTAAAAAAATTTTAATAATAAACTCACTTACCACATATAAATATACGACTTAAATTCAACTCAAATTAAATCAGATAAAAATTATAAAAAAATATTAATATTATGAAAATATAAAATATTTTATTTATTTTTTAACTACTAACTCTTAAATTTTGTAATTTGTTCAAAATAAACTATTAATGACACCGAAAGTTACTAAGAGAAAAAAAAAATCACAAGAAGCTTATTTAGGGTCACTCACTGCCATTAAAAGGTTCATTTACACAAAATGAATCAAATTACAGTACATTTCACTTTTTAAAAAGAGAAAAATGGTTAAGAAAAATAGGAAGACATTATAATTTATAAATTTTCCAGCAGATGATTGTAATTTAGCTATAAAAGTAATATATTAGCAAGTTATTTTCCCAAATCAGTATTAGTCAAAATTATATTTGATCATATTTTATTTCATTTAAAGTTTTTATTTTATTTTTTATGTGTACCAAACATGTGTCAAGAGCATCTTGCTTGTCCCTTTATATCAGAATGGGAGTGTATAGTGTATACTGTTTGGAATTTGAGAGCAGAAACTTCAATAATGGATAAAGTTCGGTCACGACAGTGGCCACAGGCTACTTAATTGGCTGTGAGGTTTGTGGTTGATTAGCTATCTAAGTTAGGCTGTAATTGACAAATTTTCATCATATATTTTATTCTATCTTATCCTATTATCATTATTATTATATTTTTTTCTCACTTAATCATATATTTCTTTCTTTTAACTAACTGATACGATGACAAATACTTATTAGGATATTGATTTAGTGGGTACTGATTTAAGAGTCGTGAGGTGTGAAGATATGCTTTGGACGGCAACTCTAGGCGAAAGGGAATCAAAATTTTCACGTTGAATTTTTAAATAATAAAATTATGCAAAATTCAACATTTATTTATCTTTTTATAGATATCAAATAAGTATAGTTTTATTTATTATAGAAAATATAAATAAAAAACTTTACACAAGTATATCTATGTTACAAATTACAATCTAACACAAAAATAACTATTTACTTAATTATATTTTTAGTTCCTATAAATATTAAGTATTCTATTATAAATTTTTATACAATTTTTTGTTAAAATTTAATTTCTACTATTAACTCTAAAGTGCTATACTACTTGATGGAGAATCAATCCAAAACTCTCAGATAATATATCATATTATTTAATTTAAAAATATTTTATTATTTAAAATTAATATCATTAAATAAATTTTTAATTATATTTTCTTTATTTGCATAAAGGTCTATTTTTTTTAACTCTGCTCATCTTCTTCTCTCTCCCTTCCCATTATCCACACTACACTCATTCAAAATTTTATATAATTTATTTTCATTTTTCTATTTATCATGTAAAAAGAGGTTAAAGAACAACCAAAAATAAACAAACATTGTGGGTGTAATTACAAGTTATTAGCAATAGAATTCTTACATAAAAAAAAAATTCAAAATACGAAAAATAAAGTCAACTTTATTATCAAAGTTTTTTACAACAATATTATAAAAAAAATAAAAATATTCAAATAGAATATTGGCTATTTTATTTATCAATCTAGACCCAATTTTTGAGCAAGATTTTAGCACCCAGATTTCGGTTCCCTAGAAACCGAATTCTTAGTTATTTTTTTTCTTTTTCTTTTTTTTAATTTTATTTTATGTTTTAATATAATAAAATAAATATTATTATTTAAATTATATTTATATATTTTATATTTATATTTTATTAAAATAAATATTTATAAATATTTTATTAGTTATATATAATAAAATATGTTTTATTATTTAAATTATGTTTATATTTTTATATTATTTAAAAATAAATAAAAATAAAAATAATATTAATTTTAAATGTTTATTAAAATTTATTTGACATATTTAAGATAATAAATAATATTTTTTTCTTATTATATTATTTAATATAATTTTGATTTTTTGAAAATGATAATAATATTATATTTTAAAATTATATTTTTAGTTATTTAATATTATATTTATAAAAAAATTAAAATAAGAATAATAATTTATTTAATTTTATATATTTATAAATAAGTAAAAGTATTAAATAATAATTAGTTTGTTTATTTATTTTGAGATATTAATATTTATTAAAATTTATACATAATTATTTATTTAAAAAATATGTTATTAATATTAATAAATATAATTAAATATATTATGTAGATATATTATATATAATTATATATTTAATATAAATTACAAATACTAAAAATTTAAAAGTTGCAATGACATTCATAAAATTTAAAATGACATTAAATTTTTTTTAAAATAATAACAAAAACATAAATCAATGGCAGGAACTAGAAATTTGAGTAATATTTGGACATGTCTTCATTGTGTGACTAGGGATATGACAATAAAAATAATTTTTTGCTCGACTTTGCTATTCTCTAATGTCCATCTTTGTTCTTATTCTACTGGATTTGGGTTGACCCTCTGAAGTTCTTTTCAGTTCTGGATTTGGACACATAGTTGGACCCGTGTAAGTTGGCCAATAATTTCCGTCTCTCAGTTCTTCAAACTGACCTTCGTATATCTTAAAAATTTGTTGTAAGGTATACACAGGAGATATGTAGATGTCAAAGTTGTGGTGTGTGTGTAAGCATGAAGCAAGTACATGCGAGTATGAGATGTGAACTTTTTGAAACTTGCCACAATCACACCACATTTTATTTAACTGTATTGTAAATCTTCCTACGAGTCAAATTTCTGTCAGATGTTGCATTTCTTCGACTAAAAATCTAGTGCTTGTTCTGTCAAAGGTGATGACTCTATGAGTGTTCGCCTTTGACTATACATCTTGAATTGCTTTAGTTGCAACCTTCGAGTACATATGTTGAAAGGTTCTTCTACGGAAGGAAAAGTAAATAACAGACAAAAAGGAAAATTATAGAGAGAAAAATATTACTCAATAATTTCTTGTCCGTCCTTTCATTAACAGTATTGTGCTATATATGCACAAATTGGCAACCGCCTTGCAGCAAGAAAAGAAAATTACAATGAATATTCCCCAATCATTAGTTCTTAATAGATTTCTCCTTTTTGTGAGTAGAGGCACACGTAACCACATAATCCTTGAGGTGGTGAGGTGTGTGAGTAATCCTTCTAGATCTTTCCTCACGTGTCACCGCAAAGTTAGGCAATTGGGTTGGTGCTCTTAGTGGGCTATTTGTCTCAG